CTCCTGCATGATTCGTACGAAGTGGCTCAAAGGGCCGGATCACGAGCGGCGTAGGATTGCTGTCTTCCATTGCGACGTGACAATTCCAGCCGGACGAGCGGCTGAATGCCACAGCTAGTTCGTCCCAGCCGCGTAAGTGGAAAGTGATCGAATCACCTTGCAGAAACCCCCTTTTTGAGTTGGAAAGCGCTCATTGCAGAGTCCCCGCACTTGCACCTCAAGAGTGGTAAGACAGTGCCCGCACAACGTATGCAAATCAGAACAAACATCACAGCCGTGTTGCGTGTTGATCATTTGCTCGAGATGCTCAAAAGATTGCGAAGAATCTAGGAAGTGAAGGTAGTAAACAGTTGATTTGTACGCATGCGAAGTGGCTCGGTATCTTCATCAATCCCCCGCTGGCCCGTTGAAAGCCGGCAGGTCCTGGTGACGTATTTCCTTGCCGCAACAGACCCTACTAATACTACGAAAGCTTGGATCTTTGTCAGATGCGTATTGATAAAGTCGCATTCAAAATTTTCAAAAAGATTGAGACGAAAATGATTTAGCAGGTTTCGTGCTGCCAAGAAGAAGGGCGAGGACCTTGACCGATGATGTACGACTATATACTGTTGCACGCGTGTGCTTGTACAGTGAATTCCACTCGTGGGCTCCGTCCCGAAGCACCCTGGTAAATGCGCATAAAATCTGGTGGGCTACTAGCACCGCGGAATGACGGCTTCCGAAGTTCGCTCCAAACTTCCGTCTCTAAGGGGATTCGTGGGCATGCTCGAAAACGCTATTGTGGCGCTTGCCAACCCAAAACTCCCACGAAGCAGGTGCATTTGAATTGCTCAACGGAGCTTCGTAATCAGCAGCATCAGGGAAGGCAGTCGACCAGCTAGGGGATCTTGGCATATGCATATGCCTGCTCTATGACATCCTTGCTGCTTTTAAGACTGGCCAGGCCTTGTAAATTAGGACGACATGCTCAGTCTATCTAGAAGCACGGGTCTCAAAAAGTTGGGGCGGAAAGGCGATTTCACAGTCTGGGCCAGAAACAGGTGGATTGGGATGGTTTGTTACCTTTGCGCGCCTCCCACGCGGGGACAGCCGAAGGCTACCCGTTTCTATAGCTAAGCAATGCGACCACACGTCGAATGCAGCTTGTAAGGAATGGGCTGTGAGCTTTCTACAGGTTCGCCCATCTCTTACCGAGGCCTACAGCATGATCATACGTAGGCACCAATCTATGGAATCGCAAAGCGTTTCCATCATCAAGAAACGGAAGAGCTTGTTTCCTCGCGTGTACCTTATTCGAACAAATTCATAACGTACGTCTGCTGGCAGCCTCAAGAGGTTCAACAGGGAGCGTGGCTGCCTTAAGAAGGCCACCCATGCAGGTTCTTCATTACTGCGGTAAGAAGCAAGCGGTTCGTGCAGCATGATCCGATCTCGAATCCGTTGAAGAGCAGCGCACGAGGAACGGATGGATTTAACAACCTGGTTGGTTTTCCTAGCTGCAGGAACGGAGCACATATAGTCTCCGGGCAAAAGTATATTTCTCAGCACGAATCCATGGACCTGGCGCAGCTTATGTGGAAAGGAAAGGAGTACCGGCTTTTTCGAATCACTGCGGATCATTGATTCACCGTTCGTCGGCTCTTATGCATGCGTCCGCAAAGCCGGACTCTCAAAGCCTGAACGCTCCGCACTATTGAAGAGAAAACTCTAAGCAGCTCGTTTTGTGTACAAAAGGCGGAGTACACAGCAGCACGCCTAATGTGAGCAAAAGACGGTCGCACCATTGGATGGATACTAGCCACTGAAACAAGTCCCTCTGACAACTGTCAGATTGCGGTTACAACTGCACTCGAGACTAAATACAACCGAAGGGGGTAAGAACTGGGGAATGATTTTACTCAGAACGAGATTTACTATAATAGGCACCCGTTCTCACGGCAGAAATCTCGTTGAGGCGAGTCTATGATTGCTGAACTGCCAAGAGCCACGCTTCCAGCAATAAGACGTGGGCTGCGCCATGCTCTGCGAAACGCAAGCATAACTTTTGTCACGATCTTTAGTCTACGCCACTTTCTGGCCTGCCCATTTGGACAGGGTTATAGTTGAGATGCATGTCATCGGCCCCGGTTCATATGCCGGTCTTCTCAAAAGGTACTGATTTCGATGCAAGAGCAGAGGAGGAGTAAAAGTGGGACCCAACGGCTCTGCTGTGAGCCAGCCGTGCACGAAACCTCAAAAATGGAACATTCTTGCAGTGGGTGCCCGAATGACTTTCGACCCACGTGAGCAGCATCATTTGAAGCCACTTTCAAAGCCGACCTGCGGTGTGGCCATGACATACCGCAAGCCAACACCATCATCGCCGCTGCCAACAGACGTACTCAGACTGAACCTTGCAAGAAAAATGTATCCTAGCAAATGTTCTGACGATGGCTGTCTTTATCCGTCATTCTTAGAGCCGCGTGTCTTTGCCGTGTTGCCCAGGTCGTGCTCGTGCGGGAACGTCGTTCGGACAGTATCAGACGACGCACGTTCAACAGGTCTCCAATGTCTGGAACTGCTGTGCTAACAAAAGCGGCTAGTCAACAAAAAGCACTTTCCTATGGAGGGACAGGGATCATCGAAAAAGAAGCCCATACGTCGACGCACCCGTTTGAACAGGTGAACCCATCAGGGACGAGAAGATCGACTCTCGTTACCGAGTCACTGTGAAGCATCAGGGGCAGGACGACCTATTATTTCTGTGGTTTTAGGGTTTTAGGGCGCGCAAGCGAATTGGTACAGCCAGATTCTGTCCGCCCTTGCTGTTACAACCAACTCTGCGTCGCCGAGACTACCGAGACTAACGACAAAGGGACAATGAAGCAAAAGCCAATTGTACGAAGTCAACTGTATCAAGTAACTCCGACACTTCGTGAATGGTTTCAAAGGGCAAATGACGTTTGAACCCTGAGCTTTTATGTATATGGGCTCTGCATCATTAAGCGTGACGCTTAGAGCTTTAGTACAAGTACTGAGAAAATGCAGAGAAGCTTTCAAGCTGTTGCGGAGTGTGAAAAACTCTCGTAAAGCTGGCAGCTATCAATCGGACTACACAGAATGCGGACACTCGAAGAGCCCACAGCAGTCCGACTTCGATCGATCATTCAAAGAATGCCGAACAAATCGTTCAAGTGACTTTCAATTTCAGCTCCATATCCATTGCTTTCAAAACGAAGCTCAGATATGTAGATGTGGCGAGAGACCTCTATATTCACGTCCTCTCCAGAGACCAAACAGTTTTTCTGGCATGTCTGCTTCGGTGAAGCATTTACGTCGAATGCCAGCAATCAAACAAATCACCGTTCAATTCGCGCAGCGTCCTTGACTCGTACTCGTGGTAAAAATATTGCATGACCACCAAAACAGCCATGGCTACACATGTCCAACGTCCTTGCTGCAGACTGCCAACGGAGCATGCGTTCGCCGATGGACTCAAACAAAGGGACAGTAGCTCACCCAACACACCTTCGTCATCAGTCGCCGGATTGACAAGTTAAGATTGTGATTGTATTATTACCAGTTGAGGACGCGCAGCCCATGCTGGGTAAAAAAGTTGACTCAAGCGTAGTGTGCGGTTGTGTCATAGGGGTCACCTTCCAAGAGAAAGCTTATCAGGCTCACCAGCCACCGCAACTCTACTATCCATGCATCTCCAATTGAGCTCGACCAGGATTTCAACCAGTATTGAAAGCGCCTACCGCCTGAAACCTACACGGAATACCCACAACAAGGTACATCCATCAGCGTAAACGTGACAACTGCCCAATCTCGGTGCACATTACTTGCCTGGCCGTCAGGTCAGAAATTCAGATCCCGGTCTGGCGCATACGGCTGCCAGCCTTAGCTGTGTCCTCTTTGCTGCTCAGTGAAAAGCATTCAAACCGTGCCTCTCAACATGGAACGGTTCACAATTTCAGCCTTAGCCACGTCCGCAGGTTCGCCGGTGATCGACCTGCCGGATCCAAAGACAACGGCCTTTGAGCGGCCGAAGGCTGCCGCTCGACTCGGTGCAACCAATAAGGCGAGTCAGACGGAGTCTTATTGTGCTGTTAAGCAGCAACGGTCGCGCAACTTGCGCAAGGTTGCACATGTTCACCGAGAAGGATACACGGAGTCCGTTGTGCCGCATCATGGACTCAAGGGCCCCTTAGCCAGACTATTTCATCTTCGCTGCCTATGCAAAGAAGCGGCTGTGACTGTGCAGGAACCAATCGAAGCAAAACCAGACTTCAACACGGACCAAAGGCGAGCTAAATTATGGGCCACGACACTGGCTCGGCATAAATGAAGACGTCCGCCAACGACCAAAACCATTATGCATGGGGTCAACGACTGCGAGAAATAAACCTCAAATTCTTGTCCGACCATGTACGCAGCGTCAATCATGTCGCACGAAGACTAGTATGGCACTGTTCTGATTGGCCAGATGCTGGTCATCCTTGCTGCTCAACTGCTGGAGCTTCGACCCCAAGAAAGCACCCAAAAAGGCGCAGCTAGACGAAGCAGACAGATCGAGCAGAACAAGCGCTTTGGTAACAAGGCTCATCTTTGACTTAATCCTCTTTGAAAGAGAAGAAATAAGAACGAACAAACAAAGGCAGCGCATCAGCTGGGTAAGCCAACCGTTGAGACAATGTCATTGTCTTCCGGAGAGTCGCTTTCAAGAGCTGCCGCGCCTCCATTTCCAGACAGACAAAATAGAACCCCCTTATTCTGTAGTCACACTCGCTGTGCTTCAATTGCACACGCTTGCAAAGTTGCAACCTCGGCATGTATACCGGTCAGCGCGTCTCATCTTAGACAGTACGCTTGAGTGAATTAGAATGCGTACCCTCAGAACGTGGAAGACTGAAGGGAAAGTCTGATCATATGCCCTCCTTTCGTTTACCATCTGTTCGTACCTCGAGCAGCCAACTCCAATGCTGACGTCAGTCCGCCATTGGGAAAGGGTTGACTCGCCTCTCATTGGTAAGAAACAAAGCATATCTGGAGTGAAAAGCGACACTTCGAGAAAACCTCCAGAGTATTTGATCCTGATGGCGCAGTTCGTTGAAAAAGAAGCGAGAGTGATCGACCACGCCTCGAAATCTCCCTTCCAATCTGATTTGATTGATCTGCTGAAAGTCCAATGTTGTAGAAGCTCACATCTTGGTCGGAATATCTGATTTAAGATTCAATGGGCACCTTCTTCCATCCCTTCACTGTTTGCTTCGCTTTTTCTGCTTGCCTTGCTTTTGTTCTGACCCTTCGACCGTCCTCTTCTTCTAACGCTCTTCTTAAGGCCCTCCCCTCCATTCACCCCTCCTACACTACCATTCGCGATCCGTTCCGTCTTCCGTTTCCGCTTCGCTTGCTGTTCCGCCCGCTCCCGCATCTTGGCCTGCAGTGCCGCCACTCTCCGCTGCTCTCGTCTCAGCGCCAAGTTGTCCCGGTGATCCCTAACCTCCCTAAACATAACCCTAAACGCTCTCCCGACCAACTCCTCACCACCCCCCTGGTTTCCCCCTCTTCCACTCCCCCCCACTTCGTTCTCCTCCACTAACTTCGCAAACGCGTCACCAAACCCGGGTTTTCTCTTTCCGCCCCCGCCCGCATTTCCTTTCTTCCGGGGGGCCTTAATCCCCGGTCGGAAGCCCCCCCCAGCCGTGCTGTAAGCGGTGACTGCCTCGGTCGGAGTAAGGCCGAGGTAACCGGTTGCATCCCGGGAGGACGCCAGGGCTGCCACGTCAGCTGCCAGCCTGGCGATCGCGGGGTGGAAGTGGCGGGTTAACAGGGACAGCTCCCACAGGCACGACGCAAGCGCGCCGCTGCTCTCGGGGTCGGGAGCCTCGGGGCGGTATACCTGCAAAAGACGACGGACGTCAGCGGCTGACGTGGACTCCTCAGCGCAAAGCCAGCGAGGTTCCTTGAGCGCTTTCATGAGTTAATCTGTTGACTTTCCGGCGGGTTGGCCTCCAAGGTGTACGAAAACAGCCGTTCGTCACCAATATCCCCCGTTTAAGAGCAGGCAATGAATCCATGATTCTGCCGAGCAAAAAATCGTAAAGGCTCTTGTTATCCAACGCTTTCCCCTTCTTTTTACGAAGGGTGTCGCTTTCCCCTTCTTTTCACTGACGGTGTCATGAGACTCTAACGTCAACGGAAGACCGCTGCTCTTTTCTAAGTGATTATACATTATCGCCACTTTGCTGCTGCTGCAGGTACTTCACAAGCATGATAGGGGCCAGGGACCAAAAAACTTACCGGACCACAACCGGAATTTTGCAAAGCACGGCTTTCTCCTTTTTCTTGACCGAAGGAAGAAATAAACAGCAACGAAGTAGTAGTCAATTTACCTTAAGCCTCCCCCTTTCATTCCAGCATGATGGAGGACACCTCGAAGGCCCGAAGCGTGCTCAAACAGAATCACGAACTTGAAAAACACTACATCCAGCAAAGGAGAGGTAAGTCCCTCACCGTAAGCCCCCCTCCCCCTTCCGTATCCAGCATCCCAGAGCCCACTTTCGGGTGGCGCTGCAACAGCCGCCGAAGCGCGATCAGCTCCGCGACTGCAGCGGCAGTGTCGGTGGTGGCGAGGGAACCCCCCGCAAGCCGCTTGGCAAAACCCGCGACGCGGCCCTGGTCCACTTGGCGAGCCTCCCATAAAGTGCTCTCGAGCGCTTGGGCCAGGGCGGGGCCCAGAGTGTCGCTGGAAGAGACAAAAAGGAGTTAGGTTACAGGTCAATGGGTTTCAGGAATTTTGGGATGATCTGGTACAAAAGATTTGACAGATGGGATTTGAGAGGCCCCCATAGAGTGCTCTCAAGGGCCTGCCCCGGGGGGGACCCAAAATTTCGCTGCAAGGAGGGAGAAAAAGCAGAGTTGAATACTCTGCAAGTATTCTGCATCTCTACATTTGAATCGATGGCTTGCGATGATCCAAATCGCAATGGATTATTAACGGTGAGTGTTGAATGGTAAGATCGCCGCACCCAAACGTGAAGGCAAATTTTTTCAGCAGCTGGCAGAGCCCCCCGCATGGGTCACATAGAGCGCGATAAGAAACGCGAAGCACCTGGAAAGCCCTTCCAATAAACCCCATAAGTGTGGCACAGATTCTAAAAGACATGTGGGACAACTTGCAATCCAGGGCACCTCTGACAGCAACTGATGAAGATGCGCACAGAAGCGGGCAGACTCCCAACCGCGAACTTCCACCAAGTACGAGAAAACCCAGAACCTCAAACACATCAAATTCTCACCTTTTCTTAAAGGTCACCTCCGGAAGCAGCTGGTAGGGCCGCCAGTAAAAGTTCCTTTTCGAGACTGACGCCCAAGGAAGGCCCAATGCCTCGTTAACCGTAGCCCAAAACCCTATCTGAAGCCAACCAAAAAGTACAAAAGCCCTACCTGTTTTCGAAGGGCACCTCCGGCAGCAGCTGATACAGCCGCACGTAGAAGTCGCGCAGGTCCACGTTGAGCGCGTCGAGCGCGCCCTTGACGATGCGGAACGCTGCCACGCAGCACTGCAGCTGCTCGTCTGGCGTCAGGCTGACGTCATCGTCCACCTCCGGGGGGGTTTCCGGGTCGGGGGTGTCGTCCAGCAGGCGCGCGGCGCCCCCCAGCGCGAGGCGGCGCAGAACTTCCAATAAGTCGCCCATGAAATCGACACTGCGGAAGGAAGGTGAGGGAAAGGCGTCAGACGCAAACTACACTGGTCCGTCACTGAAATGGACAGAGGTTTGGCTTCAACAGCTTGCTTTCCTGGTCAAGGAAGGACGAAAGTGTGTCTCTAGTCAAATTCTTTGAAGCTCAGACGGCAAAGTGCATGGCAGAGAAAGCGAATATAAAAAAGAAAAATTAAGGGGACGATGAGAAAGACCAGCGCAGCCAGAGCTTGGCACGACAGAGCGACTCTGTAAAGAGTCCCTTCTGTTACACGAATAGCCAAGCTTCTTCAGAGACACTTGCTAGCAATTGTTTGTCCGACAGGTGTGCTACAGCTCAGCTCCGGAAGACAGGCTCTGGCTTCACTTAAAGATGCCGGTAGCCCGCATCTTTGCCGCATGCACACACGAAAGCTTCCAAGATACTCTACAGACGCAATACGGTTTCGGACGTGGCCTCGAAAGGTGACTATCGCGCCAGGAGACTTCAGGCACGCAAGTATCTCCCAACCTGCAGTGGACTACTGCCCGCTAATATACATTTGCTCGGTTTGGCATCGCTGCATGTGGTGATTGACATCTTGAGCGGTCATACGAGCCAACAGGCGCGGAATGTTTTTGCGAAGCTTTTCTAACAGTCTGACAAGGTTGTGCACAGGGCATGCAAACAATAGGCCGAGGGGGAGCAACGTTAGCGTGTTTGACGCGGAAAACGGCGTCTTTGATTGCCAGTGTGAGCTTTTCAAATTTAAAGAGAGGCCCAGGAGCAGCATCACGGGCGCGATCATATTTGGCCTTGCACCACAAGTGCCAAAGTGGCCAACATGGATGCGCTTGAAGGGATACATAAGAGCGTGGACGTTCGAATCAGAGCATCCAGAAGATGACGCGCGAATGTGAAGGGCGAAACATATCACAGCAAAAAAACTGTGTGGAGTTCCCAAGGAACACCACAAAACCATCAAGCTCTGTCTCACATGTCAAGCTGTGGCTCATATGAGTACACGCAAGGGCACACTGATTGGAAGTGGGTCAAGAAAACGAAGTCTGCAACCTTGAAGGAGGTTCCTAGATCAGGGAGATATATGGCAGAACAGAAACATAGACGAACAATCGTCCAAGCAAGCTTCGATCCAGCAGACCCCTCATTCCATGGGCGACTTCAGCCCTTGCACACGGAGACAACTGTCTGCTTCCAGAACCTTGGGATCAAAGGAACGTACGTAAGCCACGACACCAAGAAGGCATTTCAAAAGGACAACCAAATAAACAAATGGACCTTTCAAGGCTGAGCATGTAAGGAGGGAACCATCAACCGACTCTTCCAACGCAGCTGCGGGATTCCTGCTCCGACGTATGACATTTGTGTATTGAGTCAATGATCGGGTCAACCTCGCTGCCGGGTTTGACCTTCTTTAAAAGACTTTACTTCTTCAGCAACAACCGAGAGGGGCGTTCGAGAATCCTGTGAGGTTCTCAGGCTGACCCTTCCTTTCAGCACATGAGCAGCTCCGGGAAAACGCCTTGGCTGGCTCCGCAAGAAAGCCAATCAGCAAACGTCATTGCCGCATTCAGAGCAGAGCCCTTGCGTTACGGTCTGGAAAAGGGTCGAGGTAACCGACCCAGCCACCAACCGAGGAAGGTAAGGTCTGGATGCGAAGCAACTTTTTATGTTTCAAGAGTCGTCAAATGTAGCGTTCGCAGCCGTACAAAGGCGGTGTGGCTGAATGGCCGCAAAACATAGATGCACAGAATCCTTCCACAGACCTCATAGTCCGGCATCTTGTCTCATCAAGCGAGTGAGTACTGCCTGCTTACCAATCTTCCAACGCGTTGAGAAAACGAGCACGCCACTAGATATAATGGTTTGAACACTTGATTTGTGCAAGACATTTTCCTAACAATCAATACCCGCCAAGCGTTGGCGCACCAAAGAGTCACCTGATCGCAATGGGAATCTTGTTCTCAAGCAGCATCAGGCGAAGAAGCGTAGATGGCTATTGTATCCACAAGCCAGGAACAAATAATCACTGCTGCTTGTTTTTATACAGGCCAATAGTTGCATCAGGCCGTTGTTCTGGCGCCCAGGATCGATTTTAGAAGGACCAAACGCATTGACGTACCGACTTGCTGCATCAGGTTGCCCAAATCCACCATGTTCAAAAAGTAGGTTGAGTGGGGGCTTCTCGGAGACAAGGGCCAAGACACCTTATCAGAAAAACACGCTTTCCACACAAAGCGGCTCAAAGGCATCCGAAAACTCGACCAGACTTTAGCCGCCAAAGTCTTCTCCTCCTTGCCGCATGAAACACCCGGAGATTGGCAAAAGGGCCAACTCTCGAAATGGACAAGATACCTCAACGACAAGCCAGATCAAAAGGGGCTTTGACGATCCCAAAGAGAATGTTTTACAGATGGTCGGACGTCTCTAATCCCGATTCAAAGGGCGAAACGGTTCGCCACTGCCGGAAATGGGAATCCGAGCAAGCAATGTGATACTCAGCCAGAGGTGTGACGAGAAAGACAAAGGTAACCACGATCGCAAAGAGGACGCGGCTTGCAGAGGGGGCATCTCTGATGAGATTTGATTGGCACTGTACTACCCCCTGCTCAGCGTCGCTACCAAGGCGACCACGCAGCATCAAGCAGCATCAGAGGACTATCATGCAAGTCTGGCGACCTTCTCGGTAAGCCAAGTTTGGAACGTCCTTGCTTTGACAAGCGGCTTGAAAAACTTGAAAAGGCACCCTTCTATCGTAAGATCCGCAATGTTGCATCCTTACTAAATGTTTGACTCATCGACTCTCCAGATATCCACGCATGCTTCGCCCATACGAGCATTCAACGTGCTTGAAGCTGCCAAAGCTTCGACGTTCGCTGAGGAACGCAGATTCACCCACTGATTGCGAAAGTGACGTCATCCTAGTCATGCGCCCACTTTGTGTATAACAGCTTACCCTCAAAGGGAAAGCCAATACTTGGAGCTTATAAGAGCGGAGAAGCTTTGCGGAACTTCCTCCTTTGCATGTTTCACCGTGAGCAGCATCAGGACCTTACCAAGAGGAAGTGTGGTACTTCAAAGAGTGCCATGTCCTGACCATCATTGCTGATTTCAAATGGTGGCGCTATTGAAACGGGATGAAGAAGGCACGACGAAAGGAGCGAAGCCCACTCGTGCACTTTTATGTTTTTTGGGGCAAGACTCCCGAGCTTGTGGACACATGCACAGTCAATTTCAGGACCTGCACCTCAAAATCACAAGGACTGTGGAGAAGATCTCCTCCACAGAGTACAAGAAGCAGCATCAAATGAGATTGGATCTGGTTTTCGAGTAGGGAAGCCAAACCTTCATTACTGCACGCTTAACTTCGATCCCATCATGTTCAGTCTTGGAAACGACAACGTCAATGAGGTAATACCAGCCGAGACTCCCCTTCAGAGTGCCAAGCCATTGGTTTGGAAATAAGAGAAGTAAGTTAGCGCTAAAATCCTCCAATGCTACTCAAATCAATTCATATTCGACGAAAGATTTTCAAAGTGAGCGACTATCCAGCGAGCCGGATCGCTCAACCACTAAAGGAACATCGCAACCAGCCAGCCACGAAACTTTGAAAGCCCAAACCAGTGCGATGATGCATGCAATGCGCTTCGCCGATGCAAGACATGGCAAAAATCTTGAATGAAACGCTTCATTGATGGGGTTCTCATCAGCAGGTGGCAGCATTCAACCGGAGCTAAAAGCAGCAAAAGGCCTCCAGACAGCATGAAACAGGCTCTTCAAACGAGGCAACTGGGCTATACCCCCTCTCACTGCGCTCCACCGCAAAGACTTGCAATTGCTAAAGAGAATAGCTGGTACAATGTCAACCAACCTGAGCAGATGGCTCAGTCCCCAAGAAACCCCAAAAACAGAAGGAGAGCTAGTACAGGCTAACCCACCAGATCAGATGGCTCAGCTTCGCCAGCCCCTCGAGCGCCACCTCAGCCAATAGAAACCTCAATCCTGTCCCCTCTCCCTCCTCGAACGCTTTTACATGAACTAGAGCGAGTACAAACCAACCGACCTGATCAGATCTTTCAGCTTCGCCGGCCCCTCGAGCGCCGCCCCAGCCAAGAAAAACCTTAACCCTGTCCCCACTCCCCCCTCAATTGCTTTCACATGAAGTAGAGCGGGTACAAGCCAACCCACCTGATCAGATGGCTCAGCTTCGCAAGCCCTTCGAGCGCCACATCAGCCAAGAGAAGCCTCAATCATGTCCCTACTTTCCCGCAATTGCTCTCAGAAGAATTAGAGCGGGTACAAGCCAACCCACCTGATCAGATGGCTCAGCTTCGCCAGTCCCTCGAGCGCCGCCCCCAGCAGCGGCCGCGGCCCCAAACCCTTCGCCGCTGAGCCGTCCCCAACGGACAGCAGACTGGTGCTCCCACTGTCCGCATCTTTCAGCACCCGGAAATACGTTTCGAACACGGCGGCCACCGTTTGGCTCTGGAGCTTGCGCCGTTCGGACGGCACCAGGACGGCCTCCGCTTCCCGGACGTCCGACTCGACTTCTTTCCGCAGCTTGGCGGCGAGCTTGCGCTTCTCCAGCTTGGCGGCCTTTTTCGAAACCTTGCCTGCAAAGGGGCGAAGAAGGGTCAGGATTGAGTTTTGGGTATGGAGTAACTTTCAAAACCGGCTACCACGGTTTGCTTCATCTCCTGCCTACTCGGACGGTGCCAAGACGGTCTGGGCTTCTCGGAACGTCCGACTCCGCTTCTTCCTGTAAAGTGGCAGCGGCATTACGAGTGTCCAGTTTGGAGGCCTCCTTCCATGCGAAGGAGCAAGCATCAACGATGCGGACGACCAGAAATTGCTGAAGGTCCTGTGCCACGCGAACATTGGCGGGACAAACTTTGCCTCGCAAACAGTCGGATTGACCTCGGAAAGTTCTACTGTTGCTTCCTCCTTCCCAGCTGAGGCGCCTTCTTGGACCCCTTACTTAGATTGAGAGGGCGAAAGCATAAGCTGGTCTGACCACCAATCAGTTAGTTCCAAGAGAAGGACTAGAATGAGGCAGTGCAGAAACTCGCCTGCAACCAAGCATGTTTGTCAACTGACTCGCTAACACCTTTTAAAGATCCTGGTTGCCAGCAAGGAAGACAATGATTCGCTGTTCTTTGAGGAGTCACCTCAGTTGACTCAATAAAAATGAACCTTGCCTGCACAGAATCTCGGCTAGAGTGACGGTATAAAATGTTACTAAGGGCGCTGCTCATCGTCACAAAAAGTACGAAAAGGAAAGTGAAAAGGAAAGAAGGGAAATCCTTGAAGTTGTTGCAAATCAATGAATTGGCGCCTTTACTAGATTAGACCCTCTTGCGACTAAAAAAGTGCTGCCGACTAAACTCACCAGCGTTAGCCTTCTCGCCGGTGCCCGAAGACCGCCCCAGGTCTTCGTCGAAGCGCAGGTTGAGGTAGACGCGGATGACGTCAGGGTGGACTCTGCACGCACGCTGCCGGACCTGCGCAGAGGAAGAGACGGCGTTCAATCACGCTCGCTTTTGTTGACACATGTTGTAGCAGCACTTTGGCTTGACCACCAACGCTCAGGAGAACGGGGGGTACAGTGCTTAGAAAGTAAGCTACTGAGGGCTGAAAAGTCTCGGTTGACCGACCCCTTGAGCAAGCAAAGTGAAGAGCATGGCAAATTTCCTGAACACATTCGGCGATACGTACATCACAAAACCTTCACCGTTCGCAATAAATGGGTTTTGTTCGATCAGCTGTGGATCCCCAAACTCTTCAAATCCTGCAGCTCGTATCAGGATGTATCGGGCAATCATTGCGAATCTTTGCAACGGGCAGGGCTCCAAAAGCCGTTCCCTATCCGAAGCGTGGAATCGGCACGCCCATATCTATGCGTCAAACCGCATCGGACTGCTGGGAATAAAAAGTTTGAACGACTTCCAAAACTTTTCACAATAGCACAGTCGAAATCTGCTGGGAAAGTGACTCACGAAGTCCGCAATCAGCTGCACCGCCTCGAGCGCCGCCTCCTGGTGCGCGGTCCCCCGCCCCGCAAACAGATCCCGCAGCGCTCCACAGCACTGGCCGCTGATGACGTCATCCGCCGCGTCCATGCGCGGGACGAGCGCCTGGAGCAGGCTCTCGCGCAGGTTGAAGTGGGGGAGGGCGACCAACAGCCCGGCCAGCGCTCGCACCGCCGCGCGCCGCAGGGGGTGGGACTTGGCGGCCTTGACAAGTTGCTGGACGTAAGACTGCCAGGAAACAGAGTTGCGGTCTGCAATAGCATCAACGGCTTGCTGCGTGCAACAAATGGGGGAGGAGTTGGCGGCCGAAACAAAGTGCTGGAGGTACGACTGCCAGGAAAGGAAGTTGCCGTTAGCAATAGAATCAGCCCAGCGCTGGTGTCACTAAAGGGTCGTCTTCAAAAACGAAATGTAAGGTGTCGAGCAGTAAACTGCCAGAGGGAGGGATGCGGTCTTGAAGAGCTTCGTGACAAGCTGCTGGAAGTATGTTACCAGTGCAGGGGGTGCGGGGGGACATTTTAAGCCGACAGATATGTTTTGTTGAGAGTATGCAAACCTTCACTGATACTTGTGGAATAATGTCCACAAAGATTGACGAGAGAGAACGACCATCTTCGTTCACCTATAAAAATTTGGAGCGAACAAAGGCCCGCTGCGTCAACAAAGATCATACCGATGCTTGCATAAGTGGTATCATGCGCTTCCCCGTGAGATTCTCGTTGTCCTGTCGAACCTTCTAAAGTGTTGCAACTAGAAGCGGGGCCTCACCCGGTAAGCGTGCAGGAGGCTGGCCTCAAACTGGCGCAGCTTGAGAACCTCCTTCGAGACCTTCACGTCGAGCTCCTTGGCCGTGGGCAGCCGTATCCGGTACCTGATGACAGCATGGCGTCAAAGTGTCATCGGAGCTTGGCATCTTGATGGCGAGTCAGAAGTGGTGACTTCGAAGCTATTGGCACTCACGCGCGGGTTAACTAACCGTCAGAATAATCGTTCGGACTAGAACCAGGTGATCCCGTCATTCTGGCCTTTCTGTCAGTCCGCCTCATTTGTTGGTGGGGAAATCTCTGGAAAAGGGCTCCCGAACTCCGAAAGCAACAAGTCCCAAATGGGACAGAGCGAAGCTGCACACAAATTTTGGCCGTCAGAAGAGAATAGGACTGAGTTCCAAGCCCAAATGGGGATCAAAAACCCACCCTGGACAGATGTCCTTGAAGACAGCCATTGCCGAGAGCATCGCCAGCTGCGCCACCTCGACGTCGTCATCGTCGCACATCTGCAGCAGCTCCTTGAGTGCGCCCATGTGCCCCTCAGGGTCCGCCAGCAGCGACGTCCCAATTTCCGCCATACGCAGACGCAGCGCCGGACGGCGCTCCTGAACCGAGGCATACTCGCGCAGCGACGCAACCTAGGGACGACAAAAAGTGTTGGTTTATGAGCGAAGAAACGGCGTCTCCGCCATGCGCAGCCGCACCAACAGACGGCTCTCCTGGTTTTAGGCATACTCGCGCAGCGATGCAACCTAGGGACGAAAACAAACAATTGTTGAGAAGGGAGAAAGCCGACTTCTCGATGAATCTCTCCAACAAGGTCTTCCGGATTTTGAGACAGTGCCAGAGTATGCTTCGGAGCCGAGGCACATTGGTGCGCAGCGGCAAGCTAGCATAGATAAGAAAACACGCCAAACAGAAGGCTGAGAAAGAACAGAAGCATCTAGCAGTCCAATGAAAAAGCGTGGGGGTGATCTATTACTCCCTAGGTTCTCTGTGCAAGAGTCGCCTGCTGATGACAGCCTCAAGAAGGAATGCGGATGCACTTGACATCAGCTGGCTGTGCCAAGACCCCGTGATTGATCCACTGTCAAGAGCTTGTCTCAGGTATTTGCCATCCACAAAGCCACCGACGACGGATCTCACTACGGCTTCTATCAAGACAGAATAGGCTGAGATTGCAACCCACATTGAGATTACGTCAAATTACCTTAGCTCTTTCAATTTGGACTCGTGTTGGAAAGAAGTTAGATCCCATTGCAGGTGTCCCGGGTGTCCAACCCAGTCCCTGTTTGAAACAATGAATGGACAAAGATCAACAATGGTTTGTGCATCTGGCATTTCAAAACAAGAAGGCGTGTGCCTCACGATATCTTCTTGCGTTGGGACTGTCAGCCCGTCCTCCTCGGCACCCTCTGCTCCCTCGTCATCCGCCTCTCCTTCCACTTCAATCTCCCGCCCCTCTTTCTTTCCCTTCTCAGGCCCCTCCTCCTTCTTCTTCTTCTCCTCTCGCTTCTGCTTCTTCACATCCTCCCTGCGCTGCTTCTTCGACTTTCGCCCCTCCGCTTCAATCTCCGCACCCTCTGTTTCCTTATCATCCTCTTTCTCCTCCCCCTCCGCTTCCCCTTTCTTCCGCTTGAGCGCTGCCCTCCGGTCCTCGACTGTGGTCGGTCCATCTTCTGCCTCCTCTAGTTTCTCCAAACTGCGGTACTGCAACTCTCCTCCAAGCGTTTTGATTGGCAGAACATCCTCTGGCCCGTAGCTTTTGCCCATATCCTCTTCTCCCCTCTCATCCTGCCGGGCTAAGCGAGCATAGTAATCTTCTGGCGTCTCTTTGGTCTTTGATTTCGCCTGTAAAACGTGTTGGCTTGTCAGAAGGCCTTGGCAGTGTCAGAAAATGACTGTGTCTGCTTCATTGGATCAGTTGTCAAGGGGATTCGGCTTCTTCGAAGTGGTCTTCTATTGAGCTGCATGTTCGTGGTGGCAGTCAATATTGAGTAGCTTCAAAACTGGGGCTGAAGAATTGCAGTTGAAGTGAAGAAACATGATCTCAAGGGTTTTGAATGACGTATACAGGCTTTTGTGTTCCTTGAAAGCGCCCACCACCACCATCATGAACATTACAAACACAACGTTTCTGAATAGATCGTATAACTTATGTGGAACGCCAGTAGCATATTTAGCACCACCACTGGACATCAATAGTCGCACTCCTTACACTGTGACAGGTTCTTGTGCAAACTCCTCACAATAAAATGCACCACTGGAAAGGCAAGGTGTTCAATTGCATTCCACCATTACCAAAACTTGGAGTTTACATTTACCACAAGAGCCTGGTTCTGCAGCAGATAAACACGTTCCTACGAATTGCATATTCGGAAAGCCATACCTTCTTCCCTTGCTCCAACTTGGATGGATCGAGCTTTGCAAGGAATGCGTGCCCCTTGCCGCGGCTGAAAAACTCAACGTCTTCATCAGAAACCGCAACATCTTCGTCCGGAATGTCCACCACCGGCACAGGCTGCTCTTTCTTCTTCTTCTTCCCCTGCCCTTTGGGAGAAGGGCGCCCAGCCTGCTTCTTGCCTGCCATGACAAATTGGCTTTGTCAGAGTTCAGAACTGTGATCAGCAACATGCATCATACGTAGTGGTTGTGGCCCCCCTTGTTACGAAAACCTACATGATTATAATGTATGAAAACCGCACCATTTGACTTTATCGAAGTAGCGCCATCGAAATAAACTGAGTAATATGGTCCCCCATAGAGGTTCGATGGCAGGCGTTATGGGGATAAAATGTTACACTTAAACTCAACAAGTTTCCGCACTTAAACCCACTCGTGGTCAGCTCTTGAAAGCTTGTCAGAGGGCGGACAAGGAGAATGGTTCTTTTCGGGACCCTGAGCCCGGGGGCTGTTGGAAGGTGCCTCATCTACGTCTGCAGCTTGACCAGAACTCCACGTGTGCAGATAGCAAGTAATCAACCGTCGGATGTATAAATGCCAATCATCGGACGGTGAGTATCTCCTCATCGGCCCTCATCGATTTGGGTCAGGCTTCGGGTTTGTGCTGCTGCGAATTATGTTGGACTCGGAGAGGACCTACTGAGGCAAGGCATCTTGAATTGTGTTAAGTATATCATAGCTATCATAGCATACGCTTTGACACATGAGGTCCGCATCTCCCGGATGGAGTCAACCCCAGGTCACTAAAGGCACCTTCCAACAGCCCCCGGGCTCAGGGTCGCCAAAAGAATCATTCTCCTTGTCCCCCCTCTGTCAGCAGTGCATGAAAGCTCCTCATTGTCTTGGCTCACGCAAAATTGGCGGAGCCCTGCTTTGATTAAATGAAGGGCAAGCCTGCTAAGCCACCATGGCCTTGCCAGGGATGGCGAGAGCCAGCCACTGACTGAATTTTGACCGAGCTTTTTGTCATTGAACGTCTATCTTATCCACAACAAGCCGGGCGTAGTGGAGAAGCAAAACTGATCATTTGGATGAGGAAAGATGGCGCAGGAAAGTAAAACAAAAGTTGTCATTAGAAAATTGCCACCGTATTTGAAGCAGGAAGGGCTTCTGGAGGCGGTGAACAAGAATTTTGAAGGAGCTTATGATTGGTTCTCTTACTACCCTGGAAAGCTGAGGTGAGGATCGGTGACGGGAGGGAAGCAAGGAAAAGCAAGTCTTCGCTTCTGATTGATTGGGTCAGCAGAGACCATGGCGCCTCCAAGCTAAAAGTGTTTCTTAACCTATTTTGGTCCGGCATTGCCTGTTGCTGTAAAAGGAGAATACCAAGCATAGTCTAGATATCATTCAGTACGAAAGAAGGAAGGAAGGTTACAGCATAGCTAGTTGTGGAAGTTTCATGACATAGACTTATGATGGCGCCAGATTCTGAAACAGGCATGCGATCTAGGCTCGCACCTTTTCGTATTGCTTGAGCATCTCAGTTCATCTTGTGCATTAGATTTTGTCGTAAAAAATTTCTCCGTTGCTGAAAGCCTGTGATGAGGTGGGACACAGCGAGGAAGAAAATTAGGTCGATGCTTTTGCATAGACGGGGGTTTCATCAGACCAAGGCTTGTTTCTCAGGAGGTATCATTGATTTGCTCCAATGCTCTTCTAGACAAGTGGTGTCCTGAAACTTGAGTTGGGGGGATAACTTATTTCGTTAAACACTTTCTACAGTCACCGGAGGCTGGTGCACTCAAGAGCTTACCTTAACTTCAAGAAAGCGGAGCTCGTATACGACTTCTACGAGAGTTTTGATGGCCACATCTTTGTCAATGAAAAGGGTAAGTCATGACGGCATCGTTGAAGTGAAGGCAAAAGGTTGCATTTGGTGGTGGCTTGAGAGCTTTTGACGTTCTTTTAACCAAGAGGCAGTTCCTTAGTGGCACCAAAAACGTTGTCACATTTTTCTACAGCATCTCAAAATGGTGTCTGATTGCTTCTTTGATGTTTATTGTTTAGAAACGCTCATTGCCTGAATCCACAACACACTGACCCAAGAACTGAATAAGTCGTGTTGCCTTCAGGGGTCCAATTCAGAGCAGAGGTGGAGTATGCTCCTTATCAGAAGGTTCCGAAAGGGCGCAACAAGAAGGACCTGCGGGAAGGCACCATATTTGAAGGTATGAATCGATACAAATCAACTGTGCTTTTGGTCATGAAAGAGCGGGTAGCATATGCCTGCAGATGTTTACACCTGTGTGCAAAAGGAAGAATGCATATACCGCGCTTTGTCATAACATTTCGCAGCAACCTTCAGCATCTTGGCACCAAGTTGGTTTTGCAGTTGCTTTCTTCTCTCCCTAGGCGCCAGATTAGTAATAAGACGCCTGGGTTGGCTGCCCTTGACTGAGAATTCAACCGCTCGCATGTTTGTGTTGCTCTGTGGCCTCGGTGGCAGCTCAATTACAGACAGTGGTTATGAAGGTATTTTCCCTGATTGTACTCGCACGTACTTTTCGGAGACACCTTCGGAGACACCTTCGGAGACACCTCTACTTCCAGCATTGTCTGGCGTTCCACCTTGTCCTGGAGCTGACAGATTGTAGCATCCTTCCAGATCCCGACTATCTCTCTTTCCTGGCTGAGCTGGAAAATCCCAAGCCGAGCGCTTCTGCCAGCGATGCTAAAAGGGAAGAGGCAGAAAAAGCAGGTGAGTCTGTACCTCAAGAGAGGCTGTGAAGTCGGTCCACAGTGATGGCACTTCACTTGGACCAAATATATAGTAAGGCTGACAAGATCCGGGCCGTGCATTATGTCTATCCACCTTCCAAACCTACCGCTTTCCTTCCAGCGCATTGGGAAGCCTTTCTCTCATTAGTGACTCCAAAGAAGCCCTGAAAGCTTGCCCGTTTGTCCGTTTGCTTCATAGCTGGCTGTTCCTTCACCCTCATGTTTCTCATTAGTCACGCTTCAGGGAGTTGCCCCGTGTGCCCACAAGCCTGGTTTCCCATTCAAATAAACTTTGTGGCTGTTGATGTCTTTTGACAGCTGCCAAAGGCCCGATAATCACGCCGCTCATCCAGTTCATCCGGGACAAGAGGGCCAGCAAGGCAGCAGGGAGGGAGGTGAGGCTGCTCTACCCTGTCCGGCTTGGGTTACGCTCAGCAGAGAGTCCTGATTGGGCATCTGTGACTGCGAGCTCGAGGTAACACCCGATAGCGGGGGCTCGGTTTGGAAGTCGATAACTACGACAGCGCCCGTCGTAGGACTCATTCCCACCTACGCTTACGTCGACAGACTGACGTCTTGAGCTGAAAGCGCTGGCGTGTTGCTGTTAGCATCGTCATTCTCAGATCCTCAACGGACAGCCTGCATCGAACGTTCCGAAGCTCTTGGCCTTCCTTCCGTCTCCGGCTTTTGACCTTCGCAGGACACGCTTTCCTCTTAAAAGGCGAGCTGTCAATGACATCACGTGCTATTCGACCTCCTTGCAGAAAGTCGGGCCCCGAAGCACGTCTAGGGACTCGGCACGGAAAGCAGCTTCAGCGGCTCCCTTGGGTTCGGCCTCCAGCAGAAGCGGGAAAGGCGGCTCCAATGAGAAGGGTATATTGGAGCGGAAGGGCACCGGCAAAGATGATTCGTCTCGAAAGTCGTCCGCACGTACATCTAGACGGGACTCTAGCTCGGGTAAGTCCTTTCCCGTTTCGCGTACTTACCAGTGTATGCCGGCTTTGTTGAACCGGGTGAGTGGAATGTCAGTACTTATTGTAGGCCTTCCTGTACCATCTGCTATCAAATCGAGACTCTGTTTGATCTAAGAAAGAGTTTTGGACGCAACAGAAACGGCCAGCTACTTACGTATGTCAGCGTCAGAATGCAAGGAGTCTGACGCACACGGATGGTTCGATGGGTTTGCTAAACCAACATTTTCTTCACAGCTTGTGAAGCGGACAAGACCGACTCATCCTCCCAAAATGCTGCCCGTTCCACCCCCCGTGACCCGACTGGCATCCTGAAACGGCCCCCAACTCCTGAGAGCGAAGCCGGCCCTTCAAGCGACCGGAGAAAAGACGCCTCCGCTCGGGGGGGTCCCGAAAAGCGCATCGTCAAAGGCGCCCTTGCATCCATCATCGGAGGGGGACTCGGGAGGCCGCCACGTGGCAGCCGGGATGCTGATGTCAGAGATGCCGGATTCGGGGACGGCACTTCCCGGGGGGGTGGCCGGCAGTCCAGGAGAGATCAGCGAAGTGCCCCTGCGCCGAGTCCTCTTCCGGCCGAGCCCAGCGGGTGGGGCGACCTCCCCGACGGAGCTTCAACCGCTGCGAACAGTTCCGCGGGTCCTTCTGCGGATTGGGGGACCGAGAACCCGCTTGCCGCGAACATGGCAAAGACGGGGACTGAGCCAAGCGCGGGCGGAAGGAAGGAGGGCGCTTCTCGGAGGGGGGGGGTCGCGGGGGCAGGTCGTCGGGGGGAAGGAGCGAGAGCGAGCCACAAGCGACGGGCTGGGATGACGTCAGCGACGGGCTGCTGAGAGCGCCCGCAGGGGAGGGGCCGGAGCCAAAACGGATCGGTTTGAGGGGGGTTGCTGCGTCGCAAGAGCGCGTCCCGTCCGGCGGTCCGAACAAGCGGGGTCAACAGGGGGCTTCCGCAGGCGCCGCGTCGCAAGTGACCATCCTGCAGCGGGAGGCTGGTGGGACCAGTCCTGCTAACGGCGACCGAATGGCTCCGCAGTCTGCCGGCGAGGGAGTCTCCGGTGTGCGGATCAGCGGAGAGGAATCTTCGATCGGTGGAGTCACAAGCAGGCTCGACGCTTTAAATATCGGACAGTCGACAGCCCGATCTGCTGGCAGGGGGCAACAAATGGCTGGCAGCCAGCCCCCCCGGGCTCGGGATGAGGGGACTGGCAGGGGTGGAGGACGGGGCTCGAGACGGCGCGGTCAGGGTCGCGGGCTTGCACCTGACGGTAAGTCTAGCACCATCATTGGCCATTTTTGTGATGTATAAGTGGAAGTTTGCTCGATCCGATTCTCCACATCATCACTAAAGGTTGAATCGACTTGGAAGTTTTGTGTTCCCGCTGCCTGCCACCTGCTTGAGCCCTCCCCGTTTTGTCAGGCGGTATCGGCCCCGGTTTCTTCGTTTCCTTCTCCTCCCGTCTGTGATGACAAAGCGCTGGCCCATTTGCAGGCAGAGTCCGTCCGTTTGTCGCAGGCAGGATTGGCACCTCTTGTATGAACGGTGACGTTTGCATCCGACCACGATGTCTTCGACTGTCTCGAACCGTGAGTGTTCTGCGTTGTGCAGCTAGTTCCGATGCAGCTGCCGCCGCCAGTGCCGCCTGGGCCGCCCTTTCTGGAGCCACTCCCGTCTCAAGTTCTGTCCCGCCCACACTAGTTCCGCCCAAGTCGGACGACCTAACGTCAGCACGGCCGACCCGGCAGCCTCGCGACTCCCTACGTGGCCAGGATGACGTTAACAAGGCGTCAGGATCCGGCTCCACAATCCGCTTAATGCAGCGGCCGGGGGGGCCTACTTCAGACGCTTCCCTGACCGACTCCATCCAGAATAGCTCCTTGGGGATCCCATCCGGAGGTCAAATGACGCGATCGGGAGGCGCGTCGGAGAACGGTCTCGGGAGCGCCAGTGAGGCCCCGTATCTGCAGCAGTCGACAGGGGCAGCGAGCAAAGGGCAGCCTCGTTTGGGGCGACAGCCTCGGCACCAGGGCCCCTACCAAGCGGGGCGGGGGCGGGGCTCGAACCGTGCGATGTTGCGGCAGGGGGACGGGCCGAGCAGTGCAGGACAGGGGGTGACTGAGAGCGGCGTGGACGGTGCAAAGAGCCGGGAGGGAGTGCCCCATGGAGCGGGGTCGGGGGGGGCGGCGGAGATGACTGGGGCTGAAGGTGCCGCTGCGAAGGTGGGGAACCGCTGGCTGAACGAAGCTGAGAGTTGTGCAGATTGGCAGTCTCGCCGAGGTAGAGGTTTACTTCATTCTGTCACGGCGGTTGATGCTTTCAATAGAGATCACGGGCCTTATGACCGGAGTTTTGTCTGTTTGTACTTCTGTCAGCGGCAGTGGTGCATATTAAATGTGACAACGATGATTCACGGTTGAGTGGACGTGTTCGGATCCTCACCGGCTCTGTGTTCCGTCTTTGCAGAAGCAGATGTGGGTTGCCGTTCAGAAGCCGGGGTAACCTGCGGGAGGACTCTATCGACGTAAGTTTTCGTTGAGCTTCCTCGCAGCATCTTGTTCTGGTCAGATGGATTTCTGCGTTTTGCAAGGATTTGGAAGACTAGCGGTGTCCTTTTCAAAGTTCTGAGCGCGCAAAGCCTTCAGAGTCCTGCGCTCGTTGATATCGTCTCGCCTATGTTGACTCTTTCGGAGATATATTCCTGACGTCCACTCGGCTTTGTGATCGACCTGGCTGCGGACCAACCTTAGGCTGGGCGAGCGCGCCACCTCATACCTGAGCACACGATCTGGAGTTCGTGCAGGCAGAACAAGCTGTGGCCGTGATCGAAGAGCAATCACCAGCTGGCTCCGCTCCAACCAAAACGGTGACAGGTGCAGGCTCGTAACAAGCCTCAAAGAGGAAGCGGCAGCAAGCTGACGTTTCTGTGCGCGCACACTTTCGAGCGAAAAGGCCCATGTCTCCGCAGCCTGAAGTCTGTCAAGAGTAGAGTGAGCAGCTTCATCAGTCTGCGGGATGTAGCTCCCTCTGCGGTTTGCACGCCAGTGCTGAGCTTCACATTCCGGATGGCTAGCTTCCTTGGGCTGGTTTGCACTGAGACGATGCTTGAATGTGCTCGAAGGCACACTGGTAGCTACTGCAGTCTCGGTTCTGGGGCGAAATTGTTTTCGCATAAATGGTTGATGCTTTGCCTCACCAGGGGGTAGGAGCGAATTGAGGCCGTGTACCACAGTGCCGAGCATGTGCCGCAGCACCGTTCAGTACTGCGCAATTGCAACCGCAAACGGATTAGGAGAGCTGCTTTCTGAAGTACTATGCTTACTGTCACAACATGCCGGTTGGTCAGATCTTTATCCGGGTGAGCAATTTCGTATGATAGGCTAACATGATCGGGCAACTCTTTCTGCATGGTTCTTGTTTGGACAGATTTGAGATTTCTCTAGTTTACTAATTGGTTTGTTAAAGTCCGTTCCGGGCATGGTTTGAGCTATATCTACTGGACAGATGCCCGAACCAGCAATGTGTACAGTAGTAACTGGCATGATTGCTTGGCATGCAGCCGCTGACATTTGGAACTCGTTCAATCAGATCTATAGGTTGAAACGTGGAATGCTACCAGGCTTTTGAGTGCATATGAGATCCATGCATTTGAACGGATCTGGCAGCAAAGGACTACATTGACATACCGTACCAGCGTTTAATTTCGTCAGATTCGACGCCAAATAATTAATTATGAAACGTTTGAGGACTTCGGCAGACCTAATGTTACCTGCTAAAACATACCATTATCGAACCATTACCGCCTGAAATATATTTCTAAAATTTTCGGCAGGCCAAATAATTATTTATTTGTTGACGAAATTAAACGCTAGTACGGTACTCTGATATGACATACTGGAACTCGTTTGGGAAGGTTATCACTGTAATGCAAGATCGAAAAGTGGATTTGATGTACCTAACCGGGTACTTACATCCTGGTTTTTCAAGAAGATTAGCAGGATATCTGGAGTTCTTGTATTATCTTTTAGGAGAGTATTTCCAAACTCAATCCCTCTCACGAGTCACCACCTTTCTTTAAGCATTCGGAATACCAACACCTGGCAGCTGTATCCTCACTGCTTCAGCAGTGGCAGGATTCAAGCCAGGTGCGACAACCCTAAGTTTTGTGCATTTGGGTAAGAGCCTGGCAACTTTTGAAATGGAAATCAAATCCTGTTGTTGGACCTCCTGGTCTTGAACAAATGCCAATTCCCTAAGGTTGCTAAGAATTGCAAAGGACTTTATCGCACTTCTACAGGGAAAAGGCCCCTCAAAATACTCAAGTGATCTCATTTTTAGAAGCAACGGTGCCCAATCCTCGTCGCCTATGACTGGAAGATTTGAGAGTTTCAAATTTCTCAACGACGAGCAGCTTCCAAGAAGACTTGCAATTCCAGCTGCTGTAAGGCGCGTTCCCATGCCATCGTCCTCCTCGCCGAGCAAATGTACATTGCGGACCCCCTTACGCGCTAGCACGAGAGCCTCCAGCAATGGACATTTCTGAGCGAGGGTCTGAAGCACTGTGTTGTCCACCACTGCAAGAGACTCGCCCTCGATAACTAGATTTCGTAAGCGAGGCAAGCCGCCAAGTAAAGCCACATAGTCATCCCGGGTGATGCCTTTTCCAGAGCCCCTCACAGTCAGATTCTCGAGGTTTGGAAACACCTGTTGTAACTTTGCAAAGGATTGGCCCCTAGTAGGATGCATCACTCCATCAGGGGGGTCGTACCAAGCGAACTCGTCTACATCAAGCTCCCTCACATTGAGAAGAGGGGATCTGCCAGCAGTATCCAGAATTGCAAGCAGGGATCTTGGTTCTAGGGAGCCCAATCCCCGTACTGTCAAATGCGTCAGCTGCCGCAGCTCCCTTAGGACCACCTCCAGATCCATTAGCAAAAACAGTTCAATGTCCATGTGAAGCTTCCGCAAAGTGTCCTTAGAAGCTGCGAGCAATCTCGAGAAAGAGCATGTTTCGGCATCATCAGACAAATGCAGGGTGACTTCAGTCCAAGCCCTAACAGGAAGCGCACATAGAATTCTAATTCTATCCCAATTCACTCCCCATTCTTCCTCCCCATCATCCCAGTATTCCCCTCTGCTATCAATGTGGAGCGCTAGCTCCACGATCTGAGGGTTCTTGTCTAGGGCTCGTTTGAGCGAGACGTTAGGGCGTATAATCTTTGGAACCGCATCGTCTCCCTGTATGACCAGCTTGGTGCTTGACAGCCGCGTCAGATCGCGCCAGTCCTTGCTGACGAGCTTGCATGATGCTGTGGTCACACTGTCCCCTTTGACTGCCAGGGATAAGATGTAAGCGAGCATCTCCAGAGGGACCGCCTCCATGATAGAAAGGCTCCCAGAGCGTCCGACTGCAGAACCTAAGGTCGCCATGTCCTCGATTCGAGGTGCTGCATCCGCTTCTTGCTCTGTCTCAGGACGTGCAACCTTGCGCCCAGCTGTTCTTGATTGGGTCGCAGCATGTGGCAGCGCTCCTAGCAAACTTCCTTGCGCTTGACGCCTTAGCGTTGAAGATACGCTATGTCCTGTGCTCGCTCATCGCGTATGTCTCTCAAGCCTGAAGACATCTGAGCCGTCAACGCAAATGTGAGCCCACTGCAGATCGTCCGACCGAGCATTCGCTTCCCGCCAAAATTTAAATTTGTACCAGCAGCCTCAGGCTATGAAATGACATGATGGACCAAGACTCAAGAGGCTGGCAGAACTTGCTGCTTCCTGAATCCTGTATTGGAAAGCCGACCGACGACAAGGGATGTTATCCGCTGTCACATACCGGTACCTCGATTCCCAAGGTGCCTCAGGGAGGATCCTGCTCTGGTGGTGAACGCTTCCCTAGCCTGTGCAAAGCCACCATACATCAGGCCAACCGCAGGGTTAACCGGACATTGAAGTGTTTGCCTAAGAAAATTCTTTGTTGACTGAGTGCTGTGGTTCCAGCTTGCCGCATTTGAGATGGCTTCTCCAGCCTTGAGCGATGGCTCCTATGAGCCAGAGGTCGACCCAGAAGGCTCCAGCTTCTCTGATGACGTGCTCGGCTCTGCGAGCGAGGTGGACGAACCAATCAACAGAAAACGTCACCGTCTGTTGGTGCCACAGTTGCACACCCTCAGATCAAACCGAAGCAAAAGCGGGTGGCTGCTGGCAAGAAGCCAACAGCAGCAAAAGCACCCGCTCTGCCAAAATTGCTGAAGGTATGGGGAAAGTGCTGAGAGGAAGAACGTATGAGCCTGAGGTCTACTGCTGTCTCAACATCTCTAACAGTGCACCTAGGATTGTCACTAAGAATTGCTCGAGGCATAGCCGTTTTCAAATGTCTCTCTGCCTGGCTGATGTTAGATATCTTCTTGACAACCTTTTGCCTTTTTCCCTTCTTTCGCAAATGTTTGGCTTGGTTCGCGAATGTACTATCTTACTGCAATTGCAAACTCTGGAATTCTTTTGTAGGCTCAGATCATGCAACAAAGGATAAGACTCTGGAGTGAAAACATTCAATCTTTGACATTTGTGAACTTTTTTTCTTTTTTTCCCCCAGGCATTCGACAATGAGCAACTGATACAGCTCATTTTGAAGATGGTTGCTGAGAAGCCAGAGCTGCAGGCCCGAGTGCTGGAGAACCTTCCAAAGCCAGACCTTGCCAAGAAGCTTAAAAGGCTAGACCAACTGGAGAGGAATGTAAGTCAAGGACGCACATCTGTATGCACTTTGCTGGAGCTCTTCCGCTGTCGTCAACTCTTGTAGTGTGAGCCTGATTGCATTGATACTTGGGGCACTTGTTCTTCTTTTAGATGTCTGCATCACAACCCATTCATGCCATCTCTTATATGCAGATCTGGAGAGCCATGCCAAACACCCGCTTTGGCTCTGGGCGCGATGCGTTCTGCTATCGGCGGTGCTCTGTCCATGTAGGAGCACTGAAGGTAGGGCCTTCCACATCATGATTGACAGTGGTCGCAAGCGAGACTTGACTGAAGCGAAGGAGTAACCAACAGTTCCAAAGAAAATTCCTCAATTGCCCTTGGCTGAAGCATAGATAACCTGAGAATGAGGCAGCCTTGCTTATGTTTGAACTGATTCATCCCGTAACTCGTCTGCCTGCCATTTGTCATGACTCATGATAACAGGTACTGGCCTGCTGACCCTGTTGTCACTTCTCTATATTTTGACGGGTTGACGCTTTAGTCCACATTGAAAACTTCCTATCCGGCCTTTGAAATCCTGGTCCTGATGCTCTTCTCTTTTATCATTCTAAGACCGGCTCGGCCTATTCCATGTCGCTGAGATCCACTTTTGAAGACAAAAGGAAACGAAGCACCCTCTGCCTAAGCTGTTGCATCATAACACTCACTTGTTCCTCCGACTTTGTTGACTGTGCAGAAAGCCATCCTTGAGGAGGGAAAGAACCTGGTCACCTCCGCCGCCTGGCCCACTGTTTTGGAGTACGTTCTTAGTGCTGCGCAGAATGCAGCGAGCGCACCGACCTGGGACGACTCCTCCAAGAACAACCAGAAGTCGCTGACGTTCAAGGCGCTCGATGGCTACATGAAGCAGGCAGCCACCAAGGGCAAGGCAGTGCTTGACCAGGAGGCGTGCACGGAAGCGATTGAGGTGAGGACTTGAGCGGTGTTGCTTTCACAAAAGAGATAAGTGGAGTATTGACAGAGCAATTGCACGGCCTCAATGACTACAAACGGTTCTTGCATATTTGTTGCCGGTCATCTGCAACTGAACAAAAGGTGTGCTTTGTCTGGTTGAGACCCTAGATTTGCAAAATTCCAACAAGCGAGAATGAACTGCTCTAAGGACTGTTAATCAACCGACTTACTTTCAAACCCAATGAGTGCCCCTGAGAACCCGTCAAATATTGCACGTTGTCTAACGCTTATCAACCGTTCAATCGTATGCAGAAGCTGAAAGGCTACGGGGAGCACTTCAATGGAAGCATCGAAGCCCTTGCCAAGCTGGCCTGATCTTCTATGATCCACCCGTCCTCTTTGTGTACATCTGGTTCGTAAATGTTAGGCAAGGGCACTCTTTTGATCGAGCATGAGTACGCGACGAAGTGCTTGGTAGAGTTATGCTGTTTCTGGGGTAGCTTTTTGCTAGAAGTTCAAGGTTGTGTGTAGCTAGTTGAATACACTTGCAGGTCCAGCACAAGATGATTGGTACTACAGTTCCCGGCTCCTGAAACCGGGACTGCCAGGACTGCATGCAAACCTGGTACCTTACAAATCAGAGTATACTGCATGTTTGCGAAGCAAGGGTAAGCATCCTCAATTCGTAAGTTGGTGTTTCTCGACCTGTTATTTTAGGACTCCACGACCTGGACGTGGTCGACGATGCTCTTGATTGTTGGACTGTCTTCGTAATGGCTGGTTTTGCAAAATCTGAAAGTAGCAAGATGCACTAGCAGTCACCCATCAGAGATATCCAGCAACCTGACAGACATCACCGAATCCACATCAGCAATGAACAGCCGGCATCGCTCTGGAGCAGCTGCCTTGCATGGCGCCAGCAAGTGCACCTAGCCGGCCAGCATGCGCGGCTCACATCTGTGCAATTACGATGTTGCACATGACATGTTTTGCGCTATTAAGTTCCTGTGTCATCTTCCAAACTGTCAAGTCGTCACGATCTCGCCCATAAGCTGCACGTGGCTTGTTTGCGGGTGACCGTTGGACACATCACTAATACCCAGCTATGATACACGGGCTATCATTTAGTTGCATGGGATGTAGCGCTGTCGATCGTCCATAGTTGACAAGATGGTGCACAACTTAAAGAATATACTACAGGGCCGTATGCTGATCCGACACTAGAATCCTAGATGCATGCACCTCATGGCTGCCTATGCGCATGCTGGCATACAATGATGCTGAACAAAATATATGCTTCTTCCCGCGGATCAGTTGCATATCGACCTTGGAGCCGCTATACGAAGTGGGTTTAAGTATTAGTACTTAAGCGCGCAGAGCACACTGCATGTAAACTGTAGCTGTCTCGTTTAACTACAGGGGATTGACAAGATACACGAGAGTGCTGTTTCATTCAGTGGGCTCAATCACACTGTTGACTCGACCCCAACTTTATCAAAGCCCTGCTCAACGTTGACAACTTGACCGGCAAGCACAAATCTGACTGCTTATCATCAGAGTGTGAGCTTTTGCTCGAGACCACGTGGGCACCCAACTAGGCACATGTCGAACTGCTAGCTAGTAATCACTAAAAGGTTTATAACTACATTTGAAAGTTGGCCGCAGCCCCACCGGTCAAGAGGAACCAGGTACTTCCGGCCAGAAGGAGTCGAACGCTATGTACCCCCAGCTTTGTCCAACCTAAAAATACAGACTTCTCCCCACCCCTTCTAGTGGGTGGAAGGCAAAGCCCACATGCTTGCAACAAAGTCCTTAACGTGCAAGCTTAATCCAGTGGGTGTCGACAGTTGGCTGACCTGTAGTGCTGGTCACAGGAAGTCCGCCTGCTCTTATCTTCGTTTGAGGTTGGCGAACCTGCGAGGATTGACTCCACGCCTAGACTTAGCTAGGTTATCCAACAATAGCGCACACAAATGCACTCCCGACGGCAGGCTGCTTTCTCAGTGTACAGCCTCCAGTCAAGAAACCGTGTCGGGATTAAGGTGACTAAGTTAGCCCGCTCACTCAACACTCAACAATATCTATAAACTCTGTAGCTGACTCTATCTCCTTAGACTCGAGATCAGCCAGAGCCCGCCGCTATTGGAACCCCGCCGCGCTTTCCTCATCCTCCTCCGCCCGCAGAGCAAACGGACCGATCTTGACTGCAAAGGGAGCCGGGTCGTCCGAGTCCACGTGGATCATTTGATACTCGCCCTCCTACACAACAAAAGAAGCGACCGTAAGAGAGAAGCCGAGTAAGGAGTCTCAAGGATCTTTGGAGCGCCTCTTGATCGGGAACAACGTGGCTAGACGACTGAGAGTGAAGTATCATCTGGGGTATGATTGAGTCAGCCCCTGAGCCAAAAGCTTCAGAGAACAATCATGACACAAAATGTGTTAACTTCAATAAGAGCAGGGTTCAGCGGACTTTAGGCTGGCGCCCCGAAGATCCTAAGGCAGAGCAGCATGTTCCAGCACCATTCCAGCGGAGGAAAGACAGCGGCGGTAGCCTCCAGAAACCACGACTGAGGCGAAGAGCAAATACCGTAACGCTGTGACGCTGTTTCTCACCATCTTGCCCGCTGGCGTTCTAAGAGGGCAAGCAGAAGTGTACTCAAACTCGTGCCCGGCCCTCAGGACAGGCTGCTCGCCAATCACTCCAGGACCCCTGCAAAAGTTATCGGTCTGGTTAGTGGCAGGGTTTGTTTTGTGGCAGGATCTGGTTACTGGCAAGAGTTGGTGAGTGGCAGGGCTTGGTTAGTGGCAGGGTTTGGCTTGTGAAGCGTTTGGTGGGTGGCAAGGTTGGATTAGTGGGTCGCAGTAAGCTCAATCGAGGAGGCTGTGTTACCGGGTCTTTTACTCAGAGCTCTCCATTGGCACCGCAATCGAATATAAGCTATGAAACCCGCCTGACATCTTATGCGGCTCAATGAGCGTCCTAAGCAGAATACGGGGGTCCTCCGATTACGCAAGGGGCGAGAGCCATCAGAAGAGCAGCTTTCTTGACTGCTCTTCTGTAGCGCTTGCGGGGCATTTTGTCTTGGCCGAGGCAGGGAGGACATTTGAATATCAAAAACATAACATATTGGGGGTCCTCAGCAGCCTCGAAGTAATCGTGGAATCTGTTCACTCAGGTTGCACTTTGCAATTCCCTGGCACGCTTCTTGGTCGGAACTCCGTGCAAACGACCGGCATGTATGTGGAGCGAGAAAGTGAATGAAAGAGAGACTCCCTCTCTCCTTCAGTGGCAATCCTGGTGCAACAATTGGCGTAAATACAGCCATCACTGTAACTCCTCGATGCGGCTGGTAGCATTGAAAGGTTCCAACATAAAGTGAATGAGACTCAGTGTCCTCACCCGACCTCCTCGGTGCGGACCATGGATAGTCAATTTGAAAAAAGGAGGAGGTAAAATGATTAAACGAGAAATAAGGAGAAAACCAACCAGGATGTGGGTTATGGATCCTCACCGGACCTCCTCGGTGCGGCCGGTGGCTCTGGTAAATCTAATCGTGAAGCAACCAAAGCAAAGCATACGAAAGCAACGTCCACGCCTTTACGGTGTCAGACGTAGCAATTATTGCAAATAAATCTAGAAAATATTAATAAAAAGCAAAGAGAAACCATGATCCTCACCGGACCTCCTCGGTACGGCCGGTGGCGTCGGTGATGACCCAGTGGCGGTGCAGGAGCTGGACGGTGCGCGGGCCCTCGTTGGTGATGCGGATGCGGTACGCAAAGAAGTACTGCTGCTTCAGAGGGTCGCTGCGCTCCACCACGTAACCACTCTTCACGCGCACGCGGATGTTCTGCAAAGCATTGCAACGGAGACAGTATTATTCACTTTTCATTGAAACACTGTGAAGGATAGTTCTCTGTGACGTGCCAGCAGACAGCAAACGGGCTGTTCGATTACAGTGTACTTAGCTGTTTACCGTGACATGTTCTGCCAAAGGGCAACAAGTAGGTGAATGGATACCAGATCACTTCTGCTCGGTGTCAAACTCGACCTTGATGTTGTGCTCCAAGTGGCAGCACTTTGGTGATCGTACACTGTGCCAGCTAATGCAATTTGGCTAGATGATTGAATTGACAAAATGCAGGAAAAGATCAATACTTTGCTTGAATGGCGCAAACTCTCGTTCACTTTAGAGATACTTTGCAGATTGTTAACAAGCATCATTTGCAGTATCCAAGGCTGACCGAAAAGAGCGAAGAGCAGCGAATCCAATTGATTGGAATGTGCACATCATCCCAGCCCACAATCACCGATCTCCAGAAGCTTATTTAAAAGCCAAGCCAAAACGACGCACACTATCACATCAAGAACCGAAGTGACAATTGCTCACCTGTGTGAGTGTATCACTGGAGTTCCCCAGATCGCCCAGAAAGCTTGCAGTCTCCTCCTCGACCGGGGTCAGGTCTTTCAACTCGTCGCGCAGCTTGGCCGCATCCTGATATCAACACATGGGGCGTTGGTGAAACTTTGGCACTGATTGAAAAAATCCACATGCCGTACTTGTGGAATGCCGTACTTAAGAGCACGTTTGGTGGTACAGCTTTGGAGATCGGTCGAGTGTTCTGATTTTTCCAAGTCACGGTAGAGCAGCCCGAACCGTACCCCAAGAAAATCTTCCATTTTGTAAACGTCAACTACAGCTTCTGTTTCCCATGATGTTTCTGAGCTTTGCAAAGGCTGCATCAACATAGGACTTCTAACAGCATGCGCAAGTGGAGGATACCACATAATCCGCGTGACGCTTTGAAAGATACTCACCGTGGAACAGTACAAGTGCATAAATCAGAGAAGCCTTTTAGCAAAAACCAAAGCATCCCACATTGGTGGTTTCTGATCCTATGAGAGTGTGTGATGCACTCACGTCGTACCGCTCCTCAGAGATTGCCCGCTCAAGCGCCTCGCGTGTGCTCAGCACCGGGTCCTGGGAGACGACGATGCTGATGAAGTCACGAACCCGCGCTGCCTCGATGTAATCCTGTTGTCAGAAACACAGGCGACGAAAATGATCAGCTTGAACGATTAACTTTCTGCAACCATTTTGAGCTTCCAAGGTTTTAATTCATTTCAGGGCTTGCTCTCGGGTTGTATCTGGCTTTAGCAAACTGCGCCAGCTCGACTTTGACAATGAGAAGTACAGTGAACCTGTTTTTAAGAACCCATGATGTTTTGTAAAAGACTATCCTGACCTGAGTCTGCTAGCTTATGCACGGTGCAAATCGATGTTGTGAGACATCTTTGAGGACAGGCTGTTGTTTGGTAGATAGCTGTACCTCAGATGTGTTTCCAACACTGCCCATATTAAGAAAGACCTATAATTACTCTAAAAGCAGGAGTTCACTGTGGATTCTTGCAATCAGTGCATTGGTATTACGAGTTGCTGAACGGAAGCTTCCACTGTTCAAAAGTCCCTGGTTGAGTTGACAGTATGAAGACATTCCTCACAGAAGCTGAAACCTGCAAATGAATACTTTGGTTTGATCTGAACGGCTTGTCAACCTGACTGCCAAGAAAGTAATGCTTCACAATACCGTGAGGTTCTGGAAAGAAGTGCCCAATGTGCAGCCAGCTCAACTATTTATTTTTTGTTTGTTCTATTCTGGCGTCTAACTTGAGTAAACAGAGTCTGGATTCTTGCCTAGACTGCCGTAGAGGGAGCACGAGCTTATTGCAAGGCCACCATTACCAAAACTCTTCACACACGTTTACACAAACTCGTTTACCAGCCAGCTTACACTGCAGCCTAACTTGAGGAACCAAGGACGTCAAAGGAATTCCGCTCAGAAAGTCCAAGAAAAGATTCCCGATCCGCGCAGTCAAACCAGCTGCAGATAAGGCAGTCAGAGAGCGACCTCATGGCCACCCTGAGGCAGGCTTCGGACTGTGCCTCTGCCCTAACAGTCTGCTTTCTCGGACGTTGAGACAAGCCTTGTATGTCCAAGTAAAAGCAGCTCAGTGCATTTTGCCTTCCAAACCCTCACCTCCATGTTGATGGCTTCAAGCAACTGCTTCCGGAGCTGCTGCAGCATTTGCTGGCCCGACACAATCTCCCGCTCCCCCGTCAATTCCGGTCTGATCATGTTTCCCCCGTACTCCATTGACACGGCCCGCCGGGCCCCTTTCATCTTGCCAAAACCAGCCGGCCATTTGGGCGCTTTTCTATTTTTGAATTTTGTATGATTAGAAAAGGAGGAGGGCGAGGCAAGATGATTTCTATATGGGCCGGCAGTTGACGGTGGAGAGGGCTCGGCCCTGAAAGACTGGGACGGCCCAAAGCCGCATTGAGCGCACGGCATGGCTGAGGAGCCCGCCAGCGCTTTTGCTGACGTCATGCTGGCAAGAGACCTATCTGTGGTTTCCAGTGCAAAGGGCGGTCGAGGCAATTGCCAATTGGATCAAAGCTGTTGCTTTCTCTTCACCATAGGTAGGACTTCAAACCACGTGATTGCAGGCTCTGCTCCCACATTTCTTCCTTCCCATCCTTCGTCTCCGGCATTCAAAGTCGACAAGGCAATTCTTAACTCCAGCACTGGCAGCAGATTCCTTGACGAAGGGAAGGGGAAAATTCAAACTTCAAAGAAGGGAAGAAGTTGCTACCAGCAAACAGCAATTGCTGTTTGTTGCTGAAACCGACCGCCATTCCTCTCCGAGTCCACCATCCGCGGATTCTTCTGATATTCTTTAGATTCATGAGCACCGTCAGATAACTCGCGGAAAAGCCATCTGACGGCTGCGAACGTGGAGGGGAAGCACTTTCTTCCGGGCAAAAAAGGATATACATTTTGGACCTCTCAAGGAAAGTAACCAGCAGGATTGCTCAAAGTTCAAAAAGCTTAGACAAAGTGCACGGGAATGGTGCCCCAGGAAATATCTTAAAGCATTACCGCGACGCGGCCGCGCAGGGCGGCAGCTGCGCTTTTCCAGCTACAGTATATTGCCGCCACCCTAGATTTACAGCCATGTGCTGGCGCTAGGACGCTGGCGCTAGCTGGCCATCCAGGATACAGGCGATTCGGATTGGCATTGGCATCAGGCGATTGTGAAGGTCCTTGTGAGGGCAGCAAGGCGAATCTGTAGATTGTTCCGATAAGCTGAAATGCAGCACTGATCGACAGCCCTGTAAGATGCATTCAGTGATTGCAAGTATTGCCGCTTGATTCGTCTGGAGCTGATACCCTGCAAGGTACAGTTGTAATTACTTTCCGCGCGTTACTAAGAATGTCAAGTGCAGCGCTACCTTGCTCTAAAACGTCAGCTTTCGTGCAAACTCCAAGTCACAGGCACATCAATGATACGATTCAGGGGCAGTGGCGCGGCCAAGCCGCTGGAGATACCACCGCCCGACTGAATGCAATGAACAGTGTGCTAGCTCCCCACATTGGCGGCAGGGTAGGTTGGCTTCCTGCAAGGACAGAAGCGGGCAATGCTGCAATTGATCTGAGTAATGTCAAACTAGATGCAAGAGCCAGAGCAAGCGGCCACAATGCAGATTTTCCCCAAAGACATTGCACTCACCGCCGGGGGGCATGCGTCCCGGCAGCGGCGCTTAGATCTGACGCAGCTCGGCCAGGGGCAATAGGGATAAACTCTTGCACTGTGCGCGCTTTTCTCTGCCACCAACAAACTGTGGATTCTTTCCCAAGCCCCTCATCAAAGCGACTGCAGAGATGCAGATTCACTGGACCGCAAAGATCCGAGTTCACAGATAGACATAAGCTGCACCACCATTCCATCGGATTCAGAAAGAGCGCAAAATCTGAAAAGGCCCTGTCAACCAGGGCGATCCTCGATTTCGACTGGTCAGACTCCCCCCGCGGCTGGGCCGACAGGGCCTCCACGTTTCTTCCCCCCCTCGCCCCTGACCCCGTCAAGTTCCAGCGCAAAAGACTGGACCTTAAGTTTGCGGTCCTGCTGATGCGGTCGTCTTATGAAGCAGTGGACGAACTAGATTTTGTACCGATGGACAGGTTTCAGGTTAAGGTGGGTGTTTTGTGTCTACTCTCAAGCGAGACGCGCAGATTGAGTTGGAAGTCAGCTGGTTCCAGGTACACACCCCAGAAACCAGTTATAGTCGTTGTAATCAATGACCCCTTTGCGGCGATTGATGGCGGTCCAATCTTGCTATGAAAGGGGGACAACTGAGATGCCCCTCACAGATCTATGAGGACTTCGTAGCGGGACTGGTCCTTGATCAAACCGGTGGTGGATTCAGCTCAGAAGATTGCAAGCTGAAGAGGTGGACTCGTTTGTGAATAAAAAATGCGGAGGAATCGACCCCTTTGTTTTCCTGCCTGCTCTTCTTTTGGTTGCTGTTGAACTCAAGTGGTTGATGTTGCTTGACAGACCTGGCCGTCTTTTGCAACCAGGAGTTGTATATTTGACTTTCTCTGGTCAAAAATCGGTGACTTAGTGCGCCTTCTTGCTGGTTTCTGATTACCTTCTTTTAGACATATGAGATTCCTGCTTTCAAACAAGACCTCTAAACCTGCTGTCTTTTATCTAAACGTCCATACAAACAGTCAATTTTTGGCAGCGCGGAAAAGTGAACGACTTCAATGTCGGGACTTGATATGCTTCCGATCCGTGTTCGAGAATTGGCGTTCTAGGGATTGCTGGTTCATTGAATGAAATTGCAAGGGAAAACCCCTCAAAGTTCTGGCCTCCCGATGATTTCCCTTGTCTTTGCAGTTTTGGAAATTGCGGCAAAGCGAGCTGGAGCCGTATGCGCTGCAGTACAGCCCTCTGAAGGCAAAGTACGGAGACCTCAGTGACCCGGTAAGGTATCAACACTGGCAGTACTTTCGGAGCGGGTTTCGTGCAAGCAAGGCTTGGTGATGTCCGCCTCTCGCATCTGAAGTTGGACTCTGTTCTTCGCTTTTCCCTCTTGGTCCGGCTGGCATTGCCTGTGACTGCAAAGGCTTCGGATAAGGTATAGTATTCCGCGTGCGACTGAGCTGGGGACGTCAGCTGTCAGCTAGGTTCTTTGCTCCTACTAGTTACCGCTCCTACTAGTTACGGCGGACGAACTTTTACTAAGCCGAATGGAAGGGAGTCTATACTTTTCCGGCCTCGAATGGCAGGCCGCCTTCGCCCATCTCCGTGCTTTAGGAATCGCCCTGATCTTTATCTGGCAGCTTCGTCGAAACGACACTGCTTCACGACTGCTCTGTCTTCGGCCACTCCAAACCAATCTTCTAGGCCATTTTTCGGACGCTTAAAGTACTCAATTTTTGGATGTAACTTTTAGAACCTCAGAAACGGTCCTGAGATCTTTGAAGGCGAACACTCAAAGGTGTTAAAGTCTAGGTGAGCTTTTTTGGGTCAGGACCGCTTTTACTCGGCCCCTTTGTTCAGAGAAAGTATAAGCAATCTCGTCGTTAGGCACTCCACTCCTGGCGTATCGACTTTGCATGTCGTGAGAAACTGGGTTCACCTGTTTTTGCTGTTCATACGCCTTCCAAGAAACCCCAACAAAAGGAAAATTTGGAAGATTGGTTTCGCGAACAGAAGAAAGAAAACGAGGAGAAAAGCAGATGGTCCAGGAACCGAAGGGGATTTTTAAAATGCTGATGATTGTTTTGCGCTGACAAGGTTGTGGTATCTCCGAATGCTGCAGCTCTACTTCGACTTCATCTCTTTCAGTCAGTACGCGGCGATCTCAAATGAGATGAGGGAGGGCCAGCAAGTCTTCCAGGTAAGGCGACGCCACTGTACTCTTGAGTCCGAGATTAGTTTCAGAACCCAAACTCGGTCCTAAATCTGATGCTGGTCTGGAACAGGCATTTGTTGGTCACATATGTCATCCGCGGGCCTCTTCACTCGGCACCTTTTTGGACTGAATTCGTGGGAGGTCGGATTCTTAACATAGCACCTGGAATACAGTGGCCCTTCGAACCGCACGATGTGGCACTAGCGGAGCGCTTCCAGATTGTCACCCTCAGAATGGATGGAGCCGGAAACGTCATAACATCTCTTCATGATTGTCGACAATCATTTCACCTAAGGGCAGTAGGTTGGGAACCGCGCTCCAAAGCACTTTCGTTGGCAGCGCCCAGACTGTTAATATCGTCTAGATTACCCACCGGATATCATGGTTCCGAGATACGCAGAGACGACGCCCCAGTCCTTTGAATTTGACGTCCTTACAGCCGCGACACCGAAGCTGTCTTTCTGCTCGATACAGTGAACAATAAGAAGACTATATTGAGACGGGCGCGGTTACTCGGGGTTTGGGCGGGTTCGGGTGCGGAGCGCGTATATCTTCTATTCAGGCCTTTCGTCCGGTCGAGGACTTGTTGCTTACCGGATTAAGTTTACTATAAACGAGATATACAAAACCTTTACCCACTCGTTGTTGCAGGAGAAGCTGGGCGCGGGGGGCCTTGTAAAGACCGTGCGCCGCAACCCCGAGTTACGCGATAACGCGAGCCTGCCATCAGCGTTCAAAGAGAGCGTTGCGAAGAAGATCTACACCGGTCTGGTGGAGGGTTTCGAGGAGGTCCAGTTCGGAGGCCCTGTGCCATGCGAGGCGGGCGCGCCAGCCGACTGCGTGAGTCGTGTTTTTTTCGATGATTGCTGAAGGAGGCCTTGCAAATGCTTGATCTGGACTTTGACCGTTAAATCTGAAGGAGAGAAAGAAAGACGAGAGGAAGATGCGGGAACAAGTTGAGATAATAGATGGGTGGAGAACTTTGAGGAAGTCGACTACAGAAGCCCCGTGCCGTGCGAGGCTGCCACACCATCCGACTGTGTGTGTCGGGTTACTTTTGATACAAGGCCTTGCAAACGCGGGTATCTGGAATCTTAATCAGCGGACAAGAGAGCCAGATGGAAAGAAGGAGAGAAACATGCGAAGGCAAGCTTAGAAAGTTAAGTTTGCGGCTTCGGTGGCGGGTTTTGTGGCAGTCCGGAGGCTCCGTGTCATAGCAAAGCGGGCGCACCATCCGACTACCGTATGTGAGCCGCTTTGCTTTCGACGTTGCTGATACGAGGCCCCTGGGAAAGTTTCAGACGAGGACCTAGGAGAACGAAGTAGGAGAGGCAAAAATGTTCCCAAGGGATAGGAAGACGGTTTGTGAGTAAAGAGAGTCTGGTGCATCTTTTGAAAGGTCGCCTTTCAAGCATTTGCTATGCGCTTCTTATGCCCTTTCAGCACCAGACCCGCTTTCGCGTCCGATTGAACTCTCGTTTTTCGACTCTGTTGAAAGACTGCCGGCAGACCGTATTCGCAAAGTAGCTCAGTAATACACGTCCCGGGCTTCATTGTGACGTCCTTGCCAACAAAGCTATGAGCTGGAAACTGATTTTTATTTCAGAGATCCCAACGTCTCGGGTCGCATCGCTGGAGTTTGAGACGTAATCTAGACGCTCACGTCTAAGGTTGTACTTAATCGAAGGCCTGCTCATGCCTCCGATCCGAACTGCTTGTCCTGTGTTGCAGGTTGTGAACGGCGTGAAGCAAATTTTGTCAATATTCGTGAAGGCTGGGTACGCCCTGAAAGCGACCGTCTCAGATGTCGACCAGCTTGGAGACGGGAGTCGACGGATACAGGTGCGCCACGTGTCCCCCTCAGAAGGCCCCCTAATTCGTATGTCCGGCCGCGGGGCTGGCTTTGATTCATTTCAGCTGGTCAAAGGTGCTCTTTAGGTCCGTGTTCCGGCATGCTTTTTCAAAAGTCACAAGTTCCCGCCGCTCCGTCGAGGCGGGTGCCGATATTCTCTTCGCCGTTTCCTTTGATGCTCCTTGAAGTCATTTCGATCCGTCAAGTCTCTGCTTGATTTTACGTGCTCTACGCCGCTTCTCGATGGAGACTCGTTGCGGAAAGGGGTTGAGCTTTCATCCGCTTAAAGTTTGAGTGTTTCAAGCCTGGAGAGATAATGATCTATCGTTGACACTAATTAGAAAAATCAGTGGTGTTTTGCGCTATGGTCCAGCTCATGCCCGTTCACTTTAACAGCACCGGCAGAATCTCACAAAAGTCCCTCACCAAAGTCCCTCGGAAAGAAATCGTCTTCAGGACAAAGATCGAAGGTTTCAAAGTACGCCAGAGTCTCTTCAGTTTGGATTCGTTCCTTACTCTCGTACGCATCACAAGCAGCAGAATCCGCAATCGCTTCGCACTTCGAAGCGCTCAGAATTTGTGCTCCTGGGGCGATCGTCCGTAACTTTGTCTGTCTCAAAATACAACATTTCTGACCCTTCAGTCCACACCACTCTTGCGAAGCCAGAAGGGAGGGGACCTTGCTGAAAGACTGATCCTGAATCTGGCTCCTCGTGCGCGAACGCCTTCTAGCCCCGATGCAGCTCTTGGAAGCGACGACTAACTCCGAGCGTCCCTGCTCCCAGCAAAAGCGATCGGCCGTTCTGTCGGCATCTCCCACGATACACGTCGGAAAAAAAGCCAGCCAACATGTCCAACTAACCTGTCTTTTCTTCACGACCCAGGTACGAGTTGAGGGTCCGGCCAACCTGTGGAGCGTCCGCAGCCTAGCGAGCCGGCGAGCGTCCGTCTATAACGAGTTTCTCGCGCTAGCAGTGCTTGGGTTCCTTCTAGCCAGCGGCGTGCCCTCCACCTTTGCGTCAAAGTACTCTGACACAAGTATAGACTACGACTTTGATTGCAGTACGAAAAGGACGTAAGTCGAAAAGAGCAAAGTCCAAATCATATTGAGTGATTGCATGCATGGTCGTGTCCGTGCTTATGATCGCCTTGATCAACCGTAACGTGGTCGACGAAACGTGGGTCCGAGATGACCGTCTCGGCTGCGGCGGCCGGCTCGCGCCGCAACTGACATCGCATGATTAGGTTGACCCGATAAGAATCACATGCAGGCCCGTACGTACATCCCGCGATCGTGTCGCATGATGGTTCCCGAGCGGCCGTGGGCCAGCGACGGCCTGGATACATAATGATGGCACATTTGCAAATGAGGAACATACTTTAGAATCTAGAATTGAGAGCCAAACGTATGCTTCCGATGCCACATGCGATCGCTCGGCGCGAACGACTCCCGCAAACGACTCAGAATTCGCATATCGCACTGCATTTGTTGACACCGTCGTGATCCATTCATGGTTCAACGGTTTTTTTGTCGTTTGAACGTCCGACACCGAGTCACTGCTCGTAAAACTGCATGCAAGTTACTCAGGGCCGAAACTTGCCTGATGCTGCGCAAACTGACGAGCAGATCTGAGCATACAAAAACTTGAAGAACGGTGAACTTATCAGCGGATTCAGATATCGCCGTCGTGGATGCCGCCCTAGTTAATGACGTCCGGAACGGCGATCAAGCAAACCTGAAATAACCCGTATACAGTACGTTTTGAATACATGCATATAAGAACTATGGTACTGGCCGGCTTGCAAGTTGCAGCACCGTGATGGTCTGACGTACATGAATTAAAGTCCGCATCACATTGCATGGTTGATCCGGAGACTAATTGCCTTAGACTGGCGTTTCGTTCAGTGTAATGTTGTCCTCTTTCGGACGCTTCGCATCGTAATGGAACATCCGCTGGATCGGTGTGCGATCCGACTGATTGGGAGCGCGCAGGAGCTGAGGTCAGCAGCGCACTGGGCTGCAAATTTACTCGGGCACTGTTTGGAAGCCTGGGGAAAGAAAGCGGACGTACGTTTGGTGGCGAGGGCTATGGAGGCCCTTCTCGTCTCTAGGGCGGAGCGCGGCAGGGTTGAGTCGTCGATCTGGCGGCACACTCGCGGCACCTAATCAGAAGCAGCCAGGTGGCATCCCCTTGTAGCGTTAAGCGACGCCCTAGATGCAATCTGCTGGGGAGTGGACGCTTTCAAACGGGAGCTGCTTCCAGAACTGGGGCGCTGCGCCTCTGTGGAGAGACTTTCCGAGAGGCGCTGCGGGCGTTAGAAGCATATGGGAAGACGTCAGTCGGTTAATCCTGGCCGCAGAGAAGAAGCAGAGGAAGTTTTGGCAGTGCTAAGCAGGCTGACTACCAGACTTGACTCTCGGGTTACCGGACAAATAACCTTGTTCCAGGGCTGTCTAACGCCCACGTCTGATTACTGGACACATACGCTTTCTAACCAGCCCAGAACCAGCCCAGAACCATCCTTGGTTATGGGCCAAAAACTCCTGTGATACTGTGACGGCGGGACGGGGCACGAGAGGTGCGAACATGGAGCGGCGGCTTTCGGACGTCGGGTGCTTGTAGAGAAGCTCAAACGAATGGCGCGGGCGTCCGAAACGTTAGTGGAAGCGTCCGACATGTCTGGAAAGCGTCCGAAACGTCAGCGAAAGCGTCCGACATGCCTGGGAAGCGGCCGAAACGTCGGCAAAAGGACAGGAGTGTTGGTGCAAGCGCTCAATTCGATGAAGCGCATAGTAGAGCTTAGTCCTTGAGATGGGTCCTTAAGCAAGTCAAGATGCCGGTTTTAGGCAGTCAAGCATCCCCGGGCATGTGACCACATCTCCGCTTCTCTCTCGCACCAAGTGTTTACATCTTTTGACTTGAATCTTGTGCAAAATTCATTGATGAAGGGGGGAGGGAGATGCAAAGTAGACAAGAAGGCCGCGCCTCATTCAGGCTTTGAGCGCGCTTCTGACGGGATCAACTCAATCCGAATCCAACAAAATTCTCATTACACACTAAACGGACTCAGTTCGTCTGCCAGTCCGGGCGCTTCGTGACCATCCCCCGACGTTCCCCCTCTGCCAGGGGAATCGCGGAAAAGTTTGAAGAACGTGGCCAGGCAAATGAAGCTTTTCCCTGAGGTATTTGGACGCGTTTCAGAGAGTATGACATGGGGCAAACTTCATCATAAGCAACCACAGAAAGCAGGGCCGCGTCGTAGAGTAGAGTACCTTACAGATGTCTCTGTTTATCATCCATACGCACCACCATGTACAGGTGCCTCTAACACAGGAAAGTTTGGCTGCTAACCAGGCTGATTACCAGAACCAGGAACTACAGACAGCCAGGTTTTAAACCGGTTCGAAATTTGGTTACCAACCAAGTCTGGTTACTGGACACACAAAAGCTTCCTGACCAGCCGATAAGCAGCTCATGACCATCCATGGTTTATAGCCAACAAACTCCTGTGATAGACTTATGGCCAGATGGTATGTAAGCATATCAAGCAACAGATTGACTGACAAGGCTGTGCTGAAACCGTCCCCACAATCACGCAGAAGATGCTTGGAGAAGATATCTGCGTTTGCTCTGCAGTTGATTGATCCTCCGACTGAGCGCCTTCTATTCCTGGGCGTTGCAGACTATCCAATCTGCCGAGCCATATACGCGCGGCTTCGCGTCGTGGCCGATCATCGGAACGGTTCGCTTGCCCTTCACGGAGCCGTTGATTCTACCACGTAGCGTCATCGGACGGCTGGTTTCGCTCGAACCTAGTTCCTTCGCCCACAAAGCTGGTTCTGCACTTTAGGAGCCTTTATATAGAGAAATCGAACCCCTTTCAGCAACACCACAAGCGTTAACTGATAAAGGGGAAGCCCCTTTCCGGGCTGCCGCCCGGCCAGGCTGCGCCTGGGAACACGCGCTACGGGTGATGACGATCATCATTAGCGCGTGTTCAAAATATGCTCCATCAGCATATTTTGCCGCTTTTGCCGCAGACTACTTAGTAAAGCAAACCGTTGCTTGGGCTCGATGAGTTGCGAACTCCTTTTCAAAAGGACTTGATTGCTTTAAATATGTGGCATCCCCTTCAACACAGCAACCGACGAATGATACTTTCTCGAGGCGTCCAGCTGTTGCCCGTCAATATAAAAACCTAGGCTAAACCAAATCACGCTAAAGCTATCAAAACTGGCCCTCAAATCTCATCGCCTTTGGTAAATCAACTCTTCTTCGTGCACGAATGCAGACAGGTGTCATGGTTTTGTTCAAAGCTACCAAGCTTTGGGGCAAACTGGCAAGGCTGAAGCGGTTTGGTTTGCAGGACTTGAACAAACCCTGTATATAAGCGAGCGTTATCACGTGCTCCTGTAATGGTGTCCAGCTGAGGTTATTCGTTGGATGCGGTAAGTCCCATCTCGGAGTCTGTCGAAAAACTAACAGCTTCTGGGTGCTGCTCCAAGGGTTTGTGTAGTAAGAGGATGATAAATGGGACTGTTGTTAAGAGACCCGCTCTTATATTCAATCAAGGAAAAGTCAAGGAAGCATAATGCTGATGGTGCAGCACTTTAAGCACACGCCGATGGTGATCGTAGTCACCCGCGGCGTATGCTCCCAGGCGGAGCCTGGCCGGGCGCAGCCCGGAAGGGGCTCCCCCCTTATCAGCAGGGCACAGCCCTGAAGGGCGCGCAGCCCTTCACGCCTAGAGCGTTGCAAGCTACGGCTATCATTGGGTATAAAAGGCGTCGAAAGTCCAGAGGAAATCCTTGTGGGCCGCCTGCAACGAAAGCGGGTCCCGCCCTCAGATGCTGCCACGTGGCAGATCCAGCGGCCCAAATCAGCTCCCCTCAGCTTTTGACGGTGGAAGGCGCGCAATCGTAGCCCCGAGAAAACAAGAGTATGCGTGACTTGTTCTGGACAATCTCGCAACGCGCATACGACATGAGGCAGGGATGCGAGTAGAAGGGAAAGTTTTAAATGTAAGTTTCTGAAACTTTTGACAGCACCAAAATCAAGAATCCCCTCCGCAAATCATGAGCAGGCGAAAAACTCAAGCCACAATTTCTATTGCAGCGCCCTCTCTCAAAGACGCACACCCAGGAAAATCAAACTTGGTGTGTGCAAGTGCTAAAAGATCACGTGCTAAAAAGATGGTGATATGAAACGTTTCAGGCAAACTTGGTGTGTGCAAGTGTGCTAAAAAGATGGTGATAAGAAATCAAACTTATAATTACGAGCAAGAGTGCGCGTGGGAGACCGGCAAGATCCTTTTCGAATCCATGCACGTAAAGGTCGCTTTGCAAGGGTTCCTCTTCGAATCGACGATGCGCAAAACAGCCGCAGGAATTTCCCAGCGCTTCCAAGAAGCATGATGGCTTATTATTTCAGACAAATCGCCAATAGAATCTCGGTTACGAAAGGACGGAGTCACTATAGTTTGGAGATTGAGGTCAAAGTCTGGGACGGGCGTTCGTCACGCTCAGCGATTGAAGATTTCTTATGCTGTTCTGCCAAGTCCGGTGAAGTTCCCTTAATCTGCACCAATGAAGGTGCAATACACAAGACAATGAAATACAAGGACGACAATGCATTCAAACCGTTCCAGTCGTACAATTCTAAGACGTTCTCAGCCTCCAATCCGACCAAGGTTTTGAGATTAGCCCTTACGCTCTACTGTACAATTACAATGGTTTTGAAAGCTATTGTACAAAGCACCAGTAAGAAACGTGCATCATAGCCGGTTGATGCCACACATCCTATGCCTTCATCGCTGTAGTTTTAACAAAGGCACGAGTTCTCAAGACGCTCAATCTCCGTTGCGATAAAGTACTGTACACCAACTTGCAGTCCTCTTGATGATCAGTCCACGCTACTGACTCCCTTCGCCTCAACATTCTGTCAAACTTTTTTACACAGACTCTTCCCGCCGTCAGGTTACAACTTCACCCCTCCGTTTCAAGGTGCCCCCGTCGGCCCAAACGCGCGCGCGGGCGCGGGCGCGGGAGACCTCGCCCGCGGAGGTGAAGGGACCGAGAACTGTCCGAAATCCACCGGCGTGTCCGCAACGACTGCGGACACCGTCTGCTGACGCACGAAGTCCGGCACCCCTCCAGGCACGCTCGCGGGGGGGCTAGTCGCCGCGAATAAGCTCTCCCCGGGGTAAATGCTCGCGTTCTGCCCGGAACGCGCCGTCAGCTTGAAGGTGTACGAGCCGTCCGTATCTGCGCCGTAGTCCGAGAAGCGTCCGGTGTAGTAGCCGTCGTCCGCGATCGAGTCGTTGTTATTGCCGTTGTCAAGCAGGGTGAAGTTGCCGGCCCGGGTGCCGTTCGGGAAGAAGACGTCAGCGGTGACGGTCGCGTTGAGCACGAGGCGTCCGCTGAAGAGCAGGTTAGCCTCGATAACCACCGGGTCAGGCGCGTAAACCGTGTCGTTATTGACGACCAGCGCGTTCAACTGGGCGCCCAGAGGGTTTCTTCCGTAGACGAAGAGCTCCAACTGAGGCTTCGGAGGGGGATCCCCCTGCCGAGCTTGAAAGCCTACAGGCTTTGGCGCGGGCGCGGGAGCCGGGGTTAGGGCGCTAACCGACGCGTTAAACACTTGGACGCCCGACACCGTGTACGTTCCCGGGACGGGTTTCTGGACGGTTACCGAAACGAAGTTTGGCCCCAGCTCGACCGTCGTCGTGGAGGACAGGTTGTAGGTTTGGTTAACCGCGGTCAGGTTAGGGGCCAGCGGCGCGGGCGCCTGGGCCACTGAAAAGTTGCTGTACGTCCGCGTGAAGTTGTACCCGGTGACTTGGAGCGTTTTCCCGGTCGGGTCTTGGATGGTTAGGTTAGCGGCGGACGAGTTAAACACGAGCAGGAACGAGACCTCGGTCGCATTAACCTCGACCATTGCCTCGAGGGGTCCCACCTTAACCGGGTCGGTTACATTCCCTGACCCGGTAGAAACCTCGCCGCCCACCAGGGAGCCGAGCTGACGTTTGTTGACGTTCCCGGCGCTTAAACCCAGAAACGTGCTAACCGTAGAAAGGGGCGACTGGGACGCCCAGAACTGGCCGCTCGTGCCTTTGGCCAGGGTTTGGAGGTCGGTTAAGCCGCCGGTCGACAAACCCTCCCCGACCCCCAGAGCGAAGCACGAGATGCCCTCCTTCTGCAGGAGCGGAATGAGATTGACGGGAGACTCTCCGCAGTTCCAGTCGCCGTCCGTCAGCAAAACGATCTTCTCGCGGCAGGGGCGGGACGCCGCGCTAACCAGCAGGTTAACGGCTAACCCGATCCCGTCTGAGATCCCGGTCGAACCGTCCGCTTCCAGGCCCTGAATTGCATTATTGGCGGTGCTCTTAACCCGCCCGTCTTTGTCGATAACCGTCAGGTCCATATCAACAGTGCCCCCGTCGCAGGCAAACGATACGACGGCCACGCTATCCCCCTCGATAAGCGAGTTGACATACGCTATCGCCCCCGCCTGCGCGTATTCCAGCTTGCCGTCGTCCGCCATGCTGCCGGACCGGTCGATGACGATAACCACACTGGTTCCAAACCCGGAATTTTCCGCGAAGTCGACCAGCTGCAAGGCCGGAATCAAGGGGTTTGGCAGTTGCCCGGGGTTTGGGGGCTGGGCCGGCCGAGTCGGGTGCGTCGCGATCGTCTCCCAGCAGGACTGGCCCTTGTTCAGCTTGCTCTGCCGCGTGTCCATGTTGGGGTCGTGCGATAAGGCTCCGCTGACGTCATGCACGCAAAATTCCTTGAGCGTGGGCCGGGCGCTTGGGTCCGTCTTCCGAGCGCCGTAGGCGAAGTAATTGTCCATCAGACAAAACCTGCGCGAAGGGGGGTGGGTTTGAAAGATTGGTTAGCACCCCGGCGGTTGGCAAACCTGTAACGGTTGAGCCGAGATGAAGTAAATAACCTTTCTCAAAGGGTTTGCTTGGCTATAGGGATGCAAGCCCAGGTGAATACGCGGCCTTTTCCCTTCATTTTTGCTTGCGAAATTCCTCTAGTTGGGCTTGAGAAAACGTTCTTCGAAGAGTCTGATCATGCAATGAGTAAGGACGACCGATACATCCTTCTGTTGCAGTTGTATTCTGCCGAGACAAAACGGAAAGCAGTCTCGAGAAACATGTTGACCAGAAGGACAAAGCACGAACGACAAGCTTCGATCCAGCGTCAGATGATACATTGTTAGAAGAAGCCAATTAGAAGTAGAGTACAGAGAAAAGTGCAACAACGTCTGCGATGATTCAATCAGAATCTCAAAAGCATCAGGGATGCTGAAATATCTCGCCAGAATGGGTTTCAATACCACGCCATGCTAGGGTGAACAAGCTCGTCGACCTAAAGCCAAGACCGAGGAACACTAAGTCGAGCCACTCGAATTTGTCAGATACTGAATCATGCGCCACTGCGACATTGAACGCAACGGAGATTTCAAGGATGAGAATTCTTTCTCTAGAATCGAGCCGTCAGCTGCCTTAGAAGCGCCGCGAGCATACTAAACCAGGATCAGGGCCGCACTTTATGCCAGGACTACAACTCAGAACAATCATAAGGATGCCGTCGAAAGGCCGGAGTTCGTGGTCACTTGCAACTCAGGGAGGATACGGACAGGACGTCGGGAATGGTATAGTGAGGAGAAGGGAGCTCAAATTGGAAAAAGGTCGGACTTGCCGCGTTCTGTGCTTCCAGCACATTCCCCGGTGGTTTGATTGCTGACTTGAAAAATCGAAGGATAGGGCAGGTCGGACACGTCAGACAGGCGGATACTTGTCAAGAAGCAAACCGAGGAAAGATGTTGCTTCTTACGAAAGGTTTGGGTCGTCCGTGTGGTCCGAGCACGCAACTTTCTTGTCGTCCGAATACTCGTCGCGCAGTCCGAAAGCATGGTGGCCCATCTCGTGCGCGATCGTGAAGGCGCCGCTGTCGATGCTAGCCGCAAAATCATCCGGGTAGTACAGATTGACGTGCTGCAACAAACAAAAGGATGCGTTGACGAATCAAGGACATTTAACCCTCGCGAAAGTCCGTACTAATAAACACTGGGTCAGTACTGATTGATGTGATGCACTTAGAGAAAGAATGGCTTATAACAAACCCACTGAGTCATTAAAGGTTGACGTGCTGCGGTTGAAAAAAGGATGGCTTCAAACAACCTCTCTGAATTAGCATAGGTGGCCGTGCTGTTAATGAAAACGATGGCGTACCAAACAGTCACTAAGCCAGCACAACTTGACGTGCTGCAGCTAAGACAAAGCGTGGGTCGAACAAACTCTTTGGGCAAGTACAGACTTCGACGTGCTGCATTATAAAGAAAGGACACGTTGAAAAACGCGGACACTCTTTTCCTAAGGAAAGTCGATGATAGCCTCCGTGATATTGGCCGGGGGGATTCAGAGTCTCAGGTGAACGGAAAAACACGGAAGTCCTTTGTTGCTGGGCCTGTGCGACGAACGGTCCTCGCTCTAAGCACGTTCGAGATTGGGATCAGTAGGTTACGTAAGCGGCGTTACTGTGGTTGCAAAGGTGTTCAATATCTGACGAGATTGTAGATTTTTAAGCAGTTGTGGCCTGAATCCAGGACCCTGTTAAACGCTCGGCCAGAATCTCCGATCGCGTATGAATATAATAAGGACTTCAACAAGAAGAACGTAAGCAAACTGATAACAAAAGAGCACTGACGTCAGCGACTTGACTGGCCCCGTTGATTCCTAGCGGACTCTAGTCTGCACCAGATTTTTCAGGATTCTGATTCCTGAATTGCCAGTCAACGGCTTACAGCACACCACGAAGATGACGTTATCGAATAGCACGTGGCTCACTTGTCCTCGAACTCCGTAGCCGTCTGGCGGGGCGTCGGCTCGGCCCTCTTCTTGATGGATGTAGAATTCGGCGTCGTCCGACTCGAGTAGATTAGGCACAATTTTGATGGTCCCAAAGCGCTGCTGACCGTCGGTCGCGTCATTGAAAACCTGCTCAAGAAGTCCACAGGGAGAATGAGGTGCTATGACTGGTTTATTGGGCCTTTCCGGTCTCTTTTGATACTGTTTCTTCAAACAAGCCACATTGATATCAGACTGCTATATTCCATGGCTTGTTTGGATACTTCCGTCTAAATGGGTCGAGCTTCTCGTTCTACGGCTCCTTAAGCAATGACGTTGACTTGCAAGTCAGAGGGCATGTTAGCAAGTTGCTCTTTGCCTCCTTTGATCTACTCTGGAAGCGGCCTTCCAAGTCAAGGCCCTACCATAACAGCCGAGATTCTTTTTCCTCAAGAAAGAGAATCACAAGCCAACGAGATAGCACGGAGAGTACTCAGAGCCAGCAACAGGTCATTGTCGCTAGGCTTCCTGGATCTAAGAAACAACACACGAGCTCGCAGGAAGAAAGCTCAGTGGAATTCTAGGGAAAGGACCAAGGAACGACCACTTCAGAACATGCACCGCATAATCAGTGCTTTGAGAGATGTGGCATTTAGTGAGCAATACTACCTTTTGCATTCCTTGCAAGGGGAAAGCAAGCGGAAGGAATGACACTCACATCCGGGCACAACCATTGGAAGTATGTACACCAGCAAAAGGAGAGAGACAAAACAGGATGCTCAGTCCTTCCAGTGCCATGCGTGTGCTGGATCCAGAACGCCAACCAACAATAACCTCCGGTAGTGTTTCTTTCAAAACCGTAATCGAAAAAGCAGCTTTTGAAAGATGCTCTAGATCCTCTTCTAAGAATGCCTGAAGGGGAGTGCTGTCTTTAAAAAAAAGGTTGATGGGTCGGAATACAGGGGGAGTGCTCTGAGGGTTTGACTGTGGAAGAGTTCTTTGAGAATCTCAACCAGATCATGAAGCTAGTTCAGCAACCAAAAGATTTCTCAGACGCTCATAAGAGGGGGAGTGCTCTCCTTCTTGAAGACCTCGAGTGTCTAACTCAAAGGTGAAAGGCCAGAGCTGGTATACAAAGCGGCACAGCGCGGTCTTTCTAGAGTCTAGTTAACGCAGAAGATTCTGGCTGCTAACGTGGCTGACTTGACTCTCGGGTTAATGGACAATCAACCGGGCTAGTAACACTGTTTCAGAGGCTGTCTAACGCCCAGATCTGCTCACTGGGCATACAACCGGTTCTAACCAGCCCAGAACCAGCCCAGAACCGTCCTTAGTTATGGGCCAAAAACCCCTGTAGCTTGTGGGCTGGTACCTGGCTTGCCGCTGTGAAGACAGACTTAATGCGGGTGATGACGTCAGGGGAGGCGTCGAAACGAACCGCCACACAGAAGGTGTAAGAGGAGCCGTCGAAAGCACCAGAACCTCCTTGAACTTGCACCGGAGCAAGGGCAAGCAAACCCAAGGTGCTTATCAGGACTGCTGTCCACTTGGTTGACGTAGTTGATTTTTTGGAAGTCATTTTTGTTCTGCAGAGAAGAAATGAGATTGGTAGCATTGGAAACATTGAGCTTCTGTGAGGGATGAGTATATGAAAGGGGTAAGCGCTTGAAGCTTTCCCTAATTATCCGACCTCACAAAGAACGTGAGAAGTGTGGATGACAAGACTTCGAAATGATACTGCCAGGGAATATTGTAGCAAACAAGAGGGAGATAAGAGAACATGTTTAGAGTGCTGGGATTGAAAATGCGGTTCCCTGGACAAATCAGAGCAATTGGCTATGGAGTAGATCAAGGAGATCAAGCTTTTGAATTATTCAAGCCTTCGAGCCGATCAAGCTTTTGAATGAACTAGAGCAAGCAAATTGAGCTTCAAGCTATCGATTACAAAGAGGTCCTTCGGTAATCTTCCGAGCAGATTTTAAATGAACAAGACGTATGAACATATGAAGACTCTCTGAAACCTTCAAGTGTAGGCGGTTTCTCTTCAAAAGTTGCTATGCTCAACAGGACCCATGAGAAACATGAACATGTCCAAAATTCTCAATTCAGGCCTAGTATGCTCTGGCGTTTGGAAGCTCACTCCGGCTCAAATCACTTACCTTTAGGTCGGAAGACGCTGCGGTTGTCTCGTCGCCGATTGGTCCTTGGCCGTGGCTTGGCGGCGTCTCAGCTTGAACAAAGACCTTCAAAGCACTTTGAGATTCGCGGGCAACTCGTGAGACCGCCGCTTCTGACCCCTTGGCCAACGTCTGAAGATTTTCAGCAGTGTTAGTATACGTTGTGGGGCCGCTAGTCTTGTCCACTCGTTCTGCAGATTCCCGTCGTGTCGTGCAGTGCGTATTTCTTCTTCGTGCAGATGTCAGCTGGTGCGCAAAAAAGCCTTAGTGTACTTTGTGCCCGTGTTTGCTGTCAGCTTATTAAAAGCATTGACACCCACCTTTGCAGAGCGGGCCGGCCTTGTGTGCTTCATGATCAAGCACGTACCTATCTACGCACCATTTCGTAGGGATCCCTCCTCCGGGACGCGACAGGCCCCAGGGAGCGCTTGCGCATGACGTCACCAAGCACCTCAGCCCGGATAAAATTCAGCTGTACGGCACCGTCACCGGCCGCAGTCAAATGTAGTCCTATACCTAGTCCTACCTGATCTGCAGATTCAACGCATGTCAAATTTAGGCCCTAAAATATGAAAATCAATCCCAAAATCAAGGCTGAACCCTAGGAGCAGGACTGATTTGATTGTCATGATACATATTCACCGTGGCATTGTCGCGTTCATAATTCAAGCCAACCAGAAGCTTGTTGCAAGAGGCGCGCGTGGGTTTGAAGGGCCCTGAATGCCGTCGATTGTCGTATCAAGCTTTCATCGTGTGGCTCCGATGGTGACAGAGACTCGAATCTAGCTGAAGGTTGAACTTGAAGATGTCGCAGATGTTGCAACTTGTAAATTGCAGGTAAACTTCTCTAGGATAGATCTTTAGACTTCAGCTCGAAAGCAAGCAGATCGAAGCCGCAAGCGCCATGTTCACTGCGTGGGACTTTCTAGATCTTAGTGTGAGCTCTTAAGTGGTATCACTGGCAGAGGAAGCGTTTGTGCATTGGCAACAAGGAACAAACTGACAGGCTCCCATCGCAGCGGAATGCCGTACTTAGAAGTACAGCAGAGCTTCAGGGCAGTGCATTACTCGACTACGATGGAAACTTCCAGTTTCTGTAGTCAACCAGCTTTGAAAGGCGCCATTGTTGCTGGGTTGACGCGGCAGGTTATGACCACGATTAGGTGCACGGAGGCTTCATCCAAAGTCATGGCCGTACCACAAGCTGTGAGCCAGGGGTCTGAATGTGGTGCTGCTCGTCAACATTTTTCCTCAAGCATCCCTGCAAGATTATGTAGGACAGCGGAGGCATATCCAACACACGCTGGGAGGGAATATGGCAGGACAGCAAGACGGAAGCTTCCGCAAGTAGGGAAACGCATTGGGATCCAAAGTGGACGGAGAAAGTATGCAACATTGCAGAGCAATGTGCGTGCTGGTGGCGTGGCTCCTGGCAGTGAGGGGTTAGTAGAAGGCGGGCATGAGAACGAGATGATGATAAAGGAGCTGGAGATGAGGGCTCCAAGGGTTTTTGTCGCTGAGAGCACGCGACCGGGCGCAGGAAAAGGTAAGAATCCTTGTTTCAACTTACTGCATCCACTGACGTCTTTTCTAGTGATGTTTTCTGAAAAGGAAAGTGGCCGGCTACAAATGCATCTGAGGGCGGGTGCTGGGGTGGTGTAATTATCAGTCTAACTTTGACACGACCGAACGGATCCAAATAAGGAGAGATGTGGACGGTAAACTGGTGCGATGGGGTATTATTACGACAGTAATCTGTCAACCAGAAAGGAACCACTGAATGGTACAAACAATGAAAATGGATCTGAATACTGCCACCTTCATTAATTGAAGAGTCCGTAGACGCACAAGAGGCAGGATGGTTGCAAGGGAGGCCCGTAAAGTCTGGTAAGAAGGGGAACTGCACAGTCGTGCCGAAATGGTAAGAATGCCCTGTCCGTCATATGTTGCACGGTTATGCAGGCAAGCGCTGGAACTGAGCCAAGTGCAGAGTGGTCCAGGGCGGCTAGTGCTATTGGCAGCAGCAGGTTTCATCCTCAGACAGTGCCTGATCTCGTGATATTTGTAGGTGATTAAAAGAAAGCAGAGTCAGCCGCCAGTACTTTCTTTTCTTCCACTCCTTCCGAAGTGCCTTTCACAACAACTTTCCTGGCTTATGCTACATGATTTAATCGCTCTCTTTCTTCCCAGTATCTCAAAGTGGTTGTGATGGAGAACGCTTTCGAATCTGCAGACACCATAGACAATGAAGAACTGTCCTATACCAGCAGCCCCAGTCATAAGACTTTCGTTTTTGATCGGGTCCGTAAGCTTACCCACGATCATTTCTGCAGGATTGTTTGCAATGGAATCCATCGCCTCCGGGGAGCTCGTTACCGAGTACGTCGGCACGCGGTTGGTCGGCCAAGAGGCGCGCTTAGAGCACGAAGAGTACCTCAAGGAACACGGTCTGGAGGACAGTTACACAATCTTTGTCTCACGGGATTGCTCAATCTATGGGGACCAACAAGCAGCCCCCGAGCGGGGAGTTGCTTGCCTTATCAACGACCATGATTGTATTGCTGCAAGCGACCTTGTGGATCTAGACAGAGCGGTTCAAAGGTACATAGACGGGATAGTAGCGAGCCAAAACGTAGACTGGTTTGTCCATGGCGACCGGCTCTTTGCAAAGGCCTGTGTAGATATAAAAGCGGGGGAGGAGCTCTTTACCAGCTATACAACTGCTTGGTGGTTGGATAGGTTGAGACGGGAGCTGCTGACAAGGGCCTGTGACCACGTCAGCTTGAAATGGAGAAACTACACTCCACGAGAGGTTGATTTCGCCAACACGGACGTTGATAGGATAAAGCATGAGTGGGCGCTAATCCGAAAAGTAGAGAGAGCATCGCTGGAAGCGGTGCGGTGGGAAAGAGATGCGTACGTGAAGAAGAATCTGATGAGTTTCGAGGATAGGCTGTACGAACTAGACGCGGTGCCAGACTACTGGGAGGAGGACATTGAGTACGGGCTTGCGGGATGTGATTGGTGTCTGGAACACCAACTGAAAAAGCACTTGCAATCAGAAACTTGAAATGTGCGCTTGACGATCTGGTCTGAGTTACATCGATCGAGCTGAATAACGCCTGCAGCGGTTTCGATGCCCATGATGTTATAATGATGCCGATCGGAGGCTGGATTCCAGGCTTAGATTATGCGAAACGATTGCATGGATGTCCAGAGCACGCCGGATCGTACAGCTAATTGCCAGCTAGAGTCGGGAGCTAGGCTATAGCTTCAGTCAAATCGATCCATGCCATATTGCATGTGCAAGGTAAACAATTAAGCCATATACTATGATACTAGCCATGTCGGAAAGTCATGCAACTTCATGCCAATTGGTTGTACTATCTCACCGTAAATGGAAAATACATATACACAAAGACTCGTACGATCGAACGTTGATATCACCAATCGACCGGTAACGACTATACCGAAGCCCATGGTTCGGCGCCGGCTTGCTGCCAGATAGGACGCGGTTGATCCGATCGACTCACATGTGGCAAACAAATACTGAGATTCATTTCATCTCAACTCGGTCCGATCCTAATTTACGTGATCATCATAAGGCATATACTCAGGTCGTGACTTGTAACGAGCAATCAGAAGATTTCCCCTATCTCGCTGTTCTTTACGGCGCGGTAAAGCAACTGAGCCTCAGAGCTCATCGATAATATAAAAGCGCTCGGCTTGCATATATCCATTTCGACCTGCAAATGCACACCAGCTCACATCCAGCACGTATGTGCAAATATAGCCGAGTGTTTGTACAAGTCCTGGCTTCTGCTATTGAGCTCTCAAGGGGGGACTACTCCAGCGTGCCTCTGCGCTGCTGACGTCATTCGCGCAGCTGCTAGGGGACGCCCCGAGCGCCTCCAACGTCTTCCTCGCCAAATCCTCAAACCGAGCCCGGGCGTTCCCACTAACAGGAGTTTCGTTTGCAACCCCCTCCATAGGCCAGAACGTATGCCCCTCCCCCTCTTGCAGAACCATCTCAGCGGCAGTCTCAACGACTGCTGTTGGTTCTGGTGCGTCCGGTAAAACGAGGTCTAAATTCGGACCGTCCGATTGCACCACCTTCTCAAGGTCCGCAACAGCCGCAGCAAAACGCTGTTCCGGGCTGAGGACGCTTCCCCTTCCTTCGCTAACCCCAGCTTGGTTTACCGTTGACCCTCCCAAACCTTCGACTCCCTCATGTTCTAAACCCTCTCCTGTGACGCCTTCCATGTTGCCCGCCAGGTCGCCTCCCTCTTTCGCATCCCCCGCTCTGGTTTCCGTCCCTGACCTGGAAAGACCTGGGTCTAACCCCGCTTCTAACCCACTTCGAGCTGCCAATCCCAATCCCAATCCCTGATTCCTCCCCCGCACGTTCTCCAATACCTCCAAACCCTCTGCAGCCTTTTCTACCGCTTCTCGCTCCGTCACCTCCGCGTAAACCCTCAGGGTTTCGAGGCTGGTCTCAAACTCGACCCTCGCTCGCTGCCGCCTCGCCTCGTCTGCCGCAGTTTTCCGTTTCAGGGGGGTCCCCGTGGCCCCGGTCGTGCCTGACCCGGACCCCCATATTCCGGCGCCAACCTGCCATGCGTCCCTGCTGGACAAAGCCTCGTGGCGTTCTGCTATTGGCGGGCTAGCGACCGTTCCAACGACTGACCCCGGCACTCTTTCCACGGAAGCTTCGCCAGTCTTCGCCGTTTCTCTTCCGTCCTCCTTCCCCCCTTCTGTCCCGTTGCCGAAACCAACCCATCGTTCAGTGTCACCGGCCATTCCCAAAACGCCACGTGTCTCCAATGAAGGCGCATCGCCCCTCTCGCCTTCCACCTGGGGAGCTGCCAGCCCGTACGCGATCCTAGACGGCGACAAAGACATCAGCATGTCGTCATCTCCCCTGGCCGGCGCAGTCGCCAGTCCGCTCTCGAGCGCCACCCCCGAGAACAGCCGCTGCAGCCGTCGCGGCTGCATCAGCGAGCCTCTAACTGGGCCACGTGGCACATCCTGGGCCACGAAAGCCCGCCCCTCCCGGATTGGCTCCGCCACCATCAAATGGGGCGCCAAGTTCACATCGACCGCCTGATCGTTCTCGGGCCCGTTCACACCACCGTCCCGGACGTCTTCGAGCCCGTTCACACCGCCCACAAGAACATTCTCAGGCTCATTCACACCACCTCTCCAACGCCCATTCGCACCGCTCAAACCGTCGCTCTGCTGCTGCTGCTGTCTCAGGAATTCGCAGCGGTCGAAGGCCCTCTCGCTCACGACGCTTCCAAAACCTTCCGGGGGATCCCCCTTCCCTCCCCCGCTACTGATCGGTTCTCCAACTTCCATGGCCCACCCTGTACCCGGGCTCGGACTTAGCTGCTCGTGTTTCTGATTCTCCGGCCCCCCTGCCGTGATTCCTTCGTCGCTTGCCCTCTCAAAAGTCGCTGGTAACAACGGCCCGGGGGGTTCTAGATATTGGACGAGCTCGTTGTCCGCTTCCAGGGGATTAAGGTTAATCTCTTCGGGGGGAAGGTCGGAAGACCGGACGTAGACCGTGAAGGGGGGGAGGGCGTGGAGAGACGAGAGGCGCAGCTCAAAGATCGCCTACAGAGGAAAGGCGCCGTCCCATGGTTAAGCACTCACATATTACATGGAAAACTCTGAGGGAGCCAGGGCCGTGATTGCAGCATCGATTGGAGGTCAGCAACCAACTAGAGAAGTCCAGAACGTAAGGCCGCAATAGCTTGCTCGAGAGGGAATTGGATGCCGCGGTCAAGAACGGTACACTTCTGTGGATTGACATACGTGAATAGCAGCGTCTGCACTCAGATACTTCTAAAAGTGCGACATGTCAAAAAGAACGGTCAAGCTGCCTAGGACGCCGTGTCAGGTGCACCAGTCACTCAAAGAAGTGCACAATCCGCACGCCGGAACTTCTTAGGGATTCCGCCAGGGCTGCCGGACGATAGAAATATTGTGGGCAAAAGAACACTGGCCCGACTTTTCCAAGTACCCTTTCTTGATTGCTTGGAGCGTGCTAGGCTCTACTCCATTCGGGACTCAACATTCATGCGCATTCGTTCTCTTTTCTTCGTGGACCCCCCTCGCTCACCTCAAGAATGGCCCCCCAGTCTGGCTGGTACCACACCCCCCCTTCCGGCCCGTATGCCATTCTCCCCTTCTCAAGCAGCCTCTTCCCTTCTCTCTGCACCGCCGCATCGTTTTCCCGCCCCCCCATAACCGTTGCCAAGAGCTTATTCACACTTCCTCTCGCTCTATTCGCATCCTCAATTTCAAAGCGCTCCTGAAACTCTCCGAAGGCGGGCAGCCTGGCCGCCCTCAGCCGTCCGATGGCGGCATCCGACGGCCCTGGGCGCGCGCTCCACCCAACACGTGGCAGGCCCTGGAGCGCCCATTTCCGGGGCCCTTCGTAAGCATCCACTTCCGGGGGCGGCCAGTTCAGGGGCGCTTCGGAGAGGGCCTTGTTAACAGCCTTCTCGGCCGTTTCAAGCGCGGCGTTGAAGGCGGGAATCCGGTTTGCAGGGCCCGCCGAGCTTTGGTCGACTTCGTTGAGAAGGGGACGTAAGAAGGCTCGCGTGAGATTGGGGAGGTTCAAGGGTCTTAGCGGGGGTTGATGTCGGGAGTTTGCCGCCAGCCAGTGGAGACCGCTGAGTAGGAGACTGTTGGTGGCTGCAGCGTCGCCCTGAGAGGGCAGGGCGGCTGACGTCAGCCCTATTGAAAGATAAGCGGCCCCGAAAGTCGCCTGCGGGCTTGGGTCTTCTGCAAGCTTGCTAAGTGGTGAGAAAGGGTTCATTTTCTGAACTGCTTGTTTGCTTGATTATGGTCACCTCTCCCTCCTACGGGACAACGCAGAGCTGAATTTGCAGAGGTCTTCACAATCAGATTGCTACCTTCACTTTGCCCTATTCTGAGAATCTCTCCAGTTACTTCGTAGAGGCTCCTTGAAGGCTCCTCGGTGGAAAGAACGCAAAGCTGCAAGAACCTCTCAAGAATGGTCGTATTGCTTGTCTCACGAACGAGCAATCCGCACATGATCCTCCGGGACCCGCCGACTAACTTTTCACTGCATCCCCCCACAAAAACCACCATCCATTCCCCGAGCCACCCGAGGCTCCCCTCGCCATAAGGAACGCAAAGCTGCAAAACTCTCTATTCAAAGGGTTCTATCATTAATCATAAAACGAGAATAATGCATGACCCCGGAACTTGCTGCCACGTAACCACTCACCGCATCCCCCACGAACACCACCCGCCACTCCCCGAGCCGCCCGTCGTCCACGCCTAGTTCGTCCAGGCCCAGCGCCTCGCCCACCGCCGCCTCCGCTCCATCCTCGTCGCTCTCGTTCCACTCGCCCCACGGCACTCCTGCCACGTCATCGACGACGTCACCCATGAGGTCATCGTCGACTGAGCCCACGGGCACCAGCTCCATTCCGGTAACGGTTCCGTTCGTTCCGGCCTCCATCTCGTCGGATTCATCTTCCGCCGGGAGAGTTGCGCCGCCCATATCTCCGTTCGCTTTCCAAAAGTTCCCTACTTGGTTCCGTTCCGCCCCCATAGCCCTTGTTCCATTCTCCTGCTCCTCGTCGTCCATATCCAAAACCTCTTCTTGCCCCGCCCCTTCGTCCGCTTCCGCTTCCGCCCATTCCGCTCGCGGACAGCCCGCCACCACCAGGAGCGGAACTCCGGCCCCCTCGGGAAGAACATCCACGATTCTCTGCAACCGCTCCCGATCTCTCAACAGCATTGCAACCTCTCGCAAGCCCGCCGCGTGCAAAACGTGCACAATCGCACTTGATCCAGAAACCGTCTTCTCCAAAGCCGGTCTCCGTTCTTGGTCCGACCTCGGTTCTAATTGCTCGACTTCAGTCGCTGCCAGCCACACGTACTGGCGCTTTGCTTGCGCTTCGCCTTGAAAACCCCCCGAAACATCAAAGACGCCTTCCGCAAGCCTTGCCTCTCCGTTCCCTTCCCCCTCCCCTCGACTCAAAGCTGCGCCATATTCCGTTCGCGTTCCGTCCATCATCAGCTTTGCCCTTATCCAGAGCCCCGTCTCGACAGCGGGACGGCCCCTCCCTCCCCGTTCAACCCTCCCTTCCGTAATGCTGACGTCCGCAATCTGAGAGGTTGACGGTCCACTCAGTCGCTCAAACACCGATCGCCTGCCCCTCCTTTCTCCTTCATCAACCCTCCCCCAGCGCCCGTTATCATCGTATCCCCAACTCCCGTCGACAAACCGCTCTTGCACAGCACTGCTTTCCGCTTCGCGCGTTCCGTCTATCTCAAACCTATGTCCAGCCTCTCCTTCTTGTGTGCGGTTTTGCAAACCGGTGCTAACCAGTAGCTTGAAAGCGAGGCACCGCGCCTCGGGGCTGTGGATTTGCAGCCCGGCGGCGACAGAGGCAATGAGATTCTTTTCCAGGGGGGCCCACAGGGTCTCTCTTTGGGCAGCGAGCTCCCCCCCGAGGCGTTCGAGTTCGTAGGCAGTGGAGGTGACTTGCTCGACCTCCTGCATATCCAGGATTGACTGGTCTGTTATTCTGTCGAGACGTGTACAGCGCCCTCGAAACTGTGGAGAGAGAAGCTTCGCTTTTGTGGAAGAGGTTCAATGTATCGAAACATATCTTTTAACCACCAGGTGAAACTCTTTACTTCTGACGATCTGCAGAAGAAACGTACACAAAAAAGAGACATGCCAGAGCAACAAACAAAAGGCTCAGAGGACTTACAAACGGATCACTCAACCAGCGCGGAGAGCAGCACAAAGCCCGCAGTACACGATCGGCATGCCTGCCCATGCTGCTTTTCGAGGTCTTATCCGAGAGACTTGACTGGATTCAAGTCACCGACGGAGTCCTCGTGCATAATTGACAGAGTAAATGCGACGAGAACTTTCGACGTCATGCCGACGTTTCTTACCCGGCCCACAACTCCGTACAACCCGGCCGCCTCTCCGGACGGCCTCACAGCCCCCGGAACAGACACGGTCGCGAGCGCGGCCGCGGCGCGCTCGGCGCGCGCGCGCGCCTCCTCAAGAAGCCGCTCCTGCTCGCGCTCCTCGACGCTCTTCTTGCACAGGAACACCACCAGCCGGCGGAGGGCCGCCGCCTGGCGCCGTTTCTTCTCTTCCAGCGCAGCCTAACGACACAAGAAACGGCAAAAACCTGAGAGCGGAAACGGATGCGCAAACTCGAGAGGTTTTATCAAGAAAGAGAGCCCCTCCTCGACGCTCTTCTTGCACAGGAACGCCACAAGCCGCCGGAGGGCCGCCGCCTGGCGCCGTTTCTTCTTCTTCCAGCGCGGCCTGGCAGCACAAGAAACAGCAAGTTTCGTCCAAAAGGAGATAGGTGCGCAAACCCAAAAACTCTTGGGTAGGGCTTCTCCTTGAAATTCTTCTTGCATCAGGAACACCACGAGATGCAAGAGGGCGGCTGCTTGGTGCCGCTTCTTCGCTTTCAGCGCAGCCCAACGGCACAAGAAACGCAAGTTTTGTGAGAGCGGAGTCAGATACGCGAACTTGAATGAGCCCTTATTGCTAAGGAGGGCTCTTTCTCGACGGTCTTGCACAGGAACACCATCAGCCGCCTGCCGCCGTTTCTTCTGTTCAGCGCACCTGACAGCACAAGACACAAGAATCTCGAGAGTATCATCGGTTGCTCAAACTTGAGAAGTCTCCTTCATGACGAGGGCTTCCCCTCTCAAATGTGCTTCCTGCATAGTAACTCCACCACATGTTGCCGAAAGCGGCCTCCCGGCGCCGCTTCTTCTCTTCCAGCGCCGACTGACAGCGCAAAAAAACAGCGAGACTCGTGAGAGCGGACACGGATGCCCAGAAGCGAGAAACTCTCTACTGGTATGCAGAGCTTCTCCAGAGGTCGAAGGGGAGTCATTAAGCGCGGCTTCTTCTCTTCCAGCCTGGCCTGACCGGACGACTGAAAGCTCCTTTCTACAGCTGTTTTGCATCAAAATTGTATTCCTTCTCAAGGCTCGATATTCGTACCTGATCTTGGACCGTGGAATCAACAATTCCTGTCAATGATACGGTTCAAGATTGCGTACTCAGCGAAGAAACGGCACAAGGGTGGCAGGTTTAACGGGAAGAAGTGCAACAACTCGGCCTCACACCAGAAGGAATGGCTCAGAGTCCGGAGTGTGTGAGTCCGGAAATCCCTCTACTTCGCCACTCACTTTTCTCCGCGCCTCCTCTTGGACCCTCCTCCGTTCCGCTTCCGCCCGCAGCCTCGCCTGTTCCGCCTCCCATTTCCGCCTCCGTTCTTCTTCCTCTCGCCTCCGTTCCTCCGCTTCCTCTTGGCGCCGTTTCCGGTCCTCGAGTTCCGCTCGTCTCTTTTCCGCCGCCTCTAGGGCCGCTTTCCGGTCCGCCGCTTCCCGTCTCGCAATCTCCTCTCTCATTTTTTCGATCTCCGCCATTTTCCGCTCCTCCGCTCGGCGCACCTCTAGCAAATTTTGCGCCTCGGCTTCGGTCGCCTGGGTTCCAGGACTCTCTAGAGGTTCCGGAGTGGATCTAACGGGAGACGCCGCCTGGGGTGACGTTCCGAGTGCAGGATTTTGCGCCAGAGCTTCATCGAAAAGGGGCGGAATATGGATAGGCGGTCGGGGTTTGCGGGGAGGCGACAGCGGAGGTTTTGAAGCAGTGAAGGAGGGCGGTTGCAAGGAGAGGAGGGGGGGCCGGGGACCGTGAGACGAAGCGGTGGCACCTGAAAAGTGGAAAGCATGTGAGCCAAATCTTCTTTGTAGATTTAGGCTTTATAAGAAGCCGTAAATCAGGCTTCAATAGAAGCCGAAAAGGAGGGCGGTTGCCAGGAAAGAAGTGGGGGCCGAGGGACTGGAGAAGAGGCGGCGGCATCTTGAGCATGAGGACACAATAGAGTCAGTGGCGTGGCATGACCGACATTACGATGATAACATCAGGCTTGACAAAAAGAGCGGCCTCCGTGATTGACCCTGCGCTTGGGCCGTTCCACAAACCAGATGCAATTCATCAGAAGACCAGTCTCTGCACGTAGTGTTGTCGGGATCGAATGTTCGCGCATTTGGACCAGGACTGGCTTGGATTACGCAGGAAGCTCTGCATCCGTCGGGGAGCGTTGATCGTCGAGTTAGCAACCGCAACGGGGCCGTCAAGAGCTCCGACGATAACACAGTGGGGACGTGCACTCAAATAACATGCACAACAAACTCTCTAAAGGCCCGCTGAACCTGAACACCACCGCAAATGTCGCCCAAAAGCTCGAACAGGATCCCTCTCATAGTTGCTACCGCTCAGCAGGCAGTCATTCAGCAGCCAAGTTTGAACAAAACAGGAAGAGGGCGACGCCCCTAATGTACTTTTCTTCTGAAGGTTGCCTAGATCACGAACCTACGGTCCCCGCATGAAACACGCCATGATTCACTTCGCATTCACTTGGCCGGCACGACCCCAATTGTCGCTTCGAAGAATGTTTCTTGATTCTAAAAGCTTGGCCGAAGATCTGGACGGCAAAAGGCCCCTTTACTCGAAGCCGCGCAACTCGACTCACCTGCCGTCCCCGCGTGCAACACATCTTGAATGACCCGTTCCGCTCGTTTTCCAGCGACGACGCCGGAGTGGCGTGCGGCGGGCGGCTTCAGCTGCGGCTCGAGGCGCTCCTCCCGCGACAGGCGCAGCCCCGTTTGACCGCTGGGGAGAGAAACTAGCGACAGGCCGTAGTACTCTAGGAAAGGCTCCACTTCATCCTCCTGCGCATACAAGAATGCATTCAGATTCCTGATTCTTTCCCAGCGCGAGACTTCACCTTTGAAACTTTCAGTATCTGGCTCCCTGCAGAATGCACCTAATGATGTGAGGGCGGTCGGAGAAGTGACGAATTACGGGCAAATAGACCTATGCTTTAGGTAGGATAGTTCTGAATAGGGCATGGTCATGGCCCCGGGAACGGGTGGGGTTAGGTTGGACGTACGGATGCGTACTGGTGCAGAGCGGATACCATTATTGGTTTGAGTTTTGGTTTTCGTTTCACCCCGACGACTGTTGCTATCCTACCTAGACCATCAGGCTATCACTTGCAAAAACGACGCAGAGCTGGTAAGGACGACTTCAATGATGGTAGCTGCGACTTATTGTGCCAAAGCGTTCCAAAGATGCAGCTGGCTTTAACGCATGGGTTTTCCAATGCTCGCAGGCTGTCTTAAGAAAACCCTAAACAGGAGGCAGACTGGGCCCCAAAGGCACCCACTCCGCAACACTAGTCCCGGCACTCCGAAGCTCAATCCTCATCTACACTTTGATGATCAAACATTAGAACCGCGAGCAACACAAAGTTCCGGCCACTTTCCCACACCACGTCAGAGGAAAGGAGGTCGCAAAACCCTTATCAAGAAGAGGCAAGATGCAAACATCTTCTTCAATGATCCTGTACTAGTAATAGTGAGGAAGTGTCTGAAAGAACAACGAGTTTGAAGAAAGAAGTCGGAAAAGCACACTCAGAAGGGGGAAATCTCACGTCCATGCCCATGTCGCTCTGCAGCTCCTCCGCAGTGATGGCGTCTCCCGACTGGCGGTGGACCCGCTTCATGATCTCCACGGCCTCGCCACGCACCTATACAAGGTTCGACAAAATCAGAGCTAGTTCACAGGTCGCAATTCTATTCTTTCGAAGCCTCTCTCTTGCCTTTCCTTTTCTTCTTTCTGTTTATTCGGTATACCCGGAGTCTTTATCCACGGGACCTGCAAAAAGTTAGTCACTGGGTTGCTCGATGGAAAAGCGTCGACAACTGCGTTGCTTTGATAAGTGACGTCCTGTCCGAAGCAAAAGGCTTCGCAGTCTACTGAGACCGGCAACCTTGTGGTACGGATTAGCAAAAAGCTGATTGCAGTCTTGATCAAAGCCTACGAGGAGCATTTGTTGACGAGATTGCAGCTAGGAACCGTCGAACCCCAAGCTTCGAAAGAAAGACGGAGAAATTAGCGAGATGGCTAGAAAGAGACTCCTTAACAATTCTGCGCTTTGAACAAGAGGCTACGTCAGAGATGGCTTACTTTCTGCACTCCGCATCTTTGTTTATCAGAATCTGACGCAAAACTTTGAGGGAACTAGAGCGGGGGCTCACGATGCCGAAGTAGATGTGCATGAGGCAGGCCTGCAGGTACGTCGCCTCGTGCACCAGCCGGAAGTAGCGCACGTAGTTCTTCATTTCGCGCGTCCTGCGAACGAAACCGGAAACGCTTGGCCGTTGGATGCTTGATTTGCGCCCCATACTTCCGCACATCCTCATGCAAGCTATATCTTATAGTGGGAGGTTCGTTGCTTGATCTATGTCTTGCTGGAGTGACACGAGTTCGCGGGACCAAAGTGGCAGCGCTTGCTATTCGAAAGATGCTACGAACGTCTGGCCAACATCCATCTTTCATTTGACCATTGTGTATCGACGGCGAGACTCCCCGTCAGTCTTCGAGAGCTGAATGCCGCGTTCGAATCAAACGGACCGCGCCTCAGTCCCAAAGACCTATGCCCATTCTTCGTGATACAGCTGTTTGCGTGAAAGTTGCACAGTCGGAGGCCTGCAGGATTGTCGGTTACAACATCTTGGACTGTTCGCTCTCTTCAGGAAACCAAACGGACGGTCCAAGATCATTAAAAAGGTTTTCAGGTTGCAGAAAAGTTGAAAGTTTCATGCAAACAGCTGTACGAACCCACGAGTCCCACGATCCTCTCTATAACGAACTTCGTCACAAACTCAGTGAGGAGTTTCAGTCCGAAGCTGCGTACCTCCGAACCCGGATGGCAAAGTGCACCTCCGGCGACCGCAGCACGTCGGGCCGCAGCCCGCGCAGGAACTGGTTCGTCTGGCCCTGCTCCACCTGTCGCAGAAGGCAGAAGATCGGAGAGATTGAGCAAAGAAGATTTGAAAGGGGAAAACCAGTCGAGAAGAGTTGTTAATTGTAGGATACTGCTACATGAGAAGTAAATGCACTTTATTTGCAAACCAAAAGTAGGGCTTTCATCTTACGGTGCGCGCGCTGAAAAGGGTAAAGAAGAACACCTGCCAGTCTAGGTTAGTATGTTGGGACGTTCGACGTACTGATGAAGTCAATCCACGTACTCCTTTTGCAGATTGTGTTCAGTCAACCTTTTGGGCCAGACTTTCGTTCTCCAGGGAGCTCACCCTTAAGCCTAAAGTTCACCTCTCACCCTTATGCACACCCACAACATACTCTGTCGAGCCCGACACAAGCGAGGGCTCCAATCCTTACAAAATCGAAGAATGACATACCCAAGGGTCGTTTTCCAAGCTCAACGTGCTGACAATGCTGCAGGGCTATGTCTCCACAAAGAGCGCTCGCGTTTCCTTTCGGAATTGGATTAGCAATTAGTACCCGTAGAAGTTGGGCTTGGTGTCAAAGCTTTCAAGACCAAAGCGGGCATTAGAAAGCAAGGCGAACTTGACACTGTGATTGACACACACCTCGAAGTGCTGGGGGTGCGTCTCCAGAATGAGCAGCTGGTAGAACGCCCGGAACTCGGGCTCGGTGTCAAAAAACTCGAGATTGAAAAGACAGGAAAAAGCAAGACATAAGTTGACACTACGTTGAAGTGCTCGGCGTGCGTCTCCAGCATGAGCAGCAGGTAGTACGCCCGAAACTCCGGCTCGGTGTCAAAAAACTCAAGATTGAAAAGACAGGAAAGAGCAAGACATAACTTGACACTACCTTGAAGTGCTCGGCGTGCGTCTCCAGGATGAGCAGCAGGTAGTACGCCCGGAACTCGGGTTCGGTGTCAAAGAAGACGCCCTCGCGCGCGTGCGTGTTGTACATGTCAAAGAGTGACGTCAGCGCCTTGGCGGTCTGCTCGATGTTCTGCTGCGGGTTGAAGCCGTCGAAGTTGTCGGGGGTCGCCTTTTGGTCGCACAGCTCGTGCGCGCCCAAGATGTGGAACCGAATCTGGGAGGCACATAAGCGGGTGAGCGGCCGCCATAAGCTCTTGCTGTGGAGTATGGCCTCAAGGGTTCTTCACTGTACGTCCATAAGACATGAAGCATCTTCAAGAATAGACTGGATCTGATCCGAAATGGACAAGAACCCCCACTCCAAGCTTTAAAGCTCATCACTCTACAAGAAAAGTAGCAACCTTTTGGATCCACGCATTTGCAGTCCAAATATGGCACAAGTATCCCATCGTTTGGAGCAACATTCCAGGTGCTGGGTATGCAGAGGCACGTGCTTCCAAAGTACTCCCAGAGAAGAAACCCTGTCTGCTTCGAGTACTATGCAAGTAACCTTCTTGCTCGGTAAACATTACGTGTCAAACCGCCTGAAATATTTTCATCAGTGCCCCGGTTTCCTTGCAATGGTCTCGCCGGCCACGCACAAAAATGAAAACCTTGACAAGACGAACATAAGAACGCCCAAGGCAGCTTGCACCGCCCAGCGAACTCTTACTCAGCAAACCTTGTCCAGAAAAGTTTTCACGCCCGGCTCACCATCTCCTCGTGCATCTGGATCGACGCTGCGTTCTTAATGTCCTGGACCACCATGTCCTGGCGGATGCCACGTGTCCTGTCCCACAAGAAGCGGTACACCTCCAGCAGCCGCTCGTCATACGCTATGTCCGCCAGGCTCAATAAGTGGTCCATCGTGCGGCGGAGCACGGGGACCGGGCGCATGTGCTCCGGCTCTGCGCGGCCCGACTCAGAGATGTTGCGGCTGAACTGCACGGGGGAAGTTCAACCGGTCACGTTTTGCCCTTGAAAGCCTTGTGAAAACATGCTCGACAACCCATGGTTTACCTGCAAATCTCCTGACAAAGGTTCTGGGGATAGGGCCGCTTTGAACTTTGCCTGCAGACAGTGCTCGTTGCGATTGTCCAAGAACACGAAGCGTAGTCGCCGACTCGAACGGGCGAAATCAACCGGCCAGTAGTCACCATGCCAGCCGAAGTGCCCCGGAAAGGTGCAAGATTCCAAGAGATTCGGGGATCTGCCCCAGTTTGAGTCCGCCGCCAGCAGTCTGAGCAGAGTGGGACTTAGTGCCCGCAAAATATACAGATAGATCAAATCCTTACCTACTTTCAAGCAGGGTCAATCAAAGGGGTCTGGAAGCCGGTTAGAGAGAATGCTAGAGGCTAGCGGGGAGAGGTGCACGAACAGTAGGGAGAGGATTCCTAGAGGCTAGCGGGGAGAGGTGCACGAACAGTAGGGAGAGTTAACGGCTAGTCTGCCTGTGAGAAAGTCCTGGGGGTTTGTGCGGACCATTATGCGAAGTTTGACGCGACTGCTAGAGAGCAACCGTCCTAAGCTGCCTCGGGGAGTCCACGATGAAGTCAGAGCCGCAAAGCGGTGCCTGCTAAAGTTTCTAGGAGCATCGTACGAAAAGGATACTGACCGGCCTAGCGCAGTGCACGACAGTTTCTTCCAGTCACTTTACACCGCTCGTGCATCCAACTGCATATAAGTGCGCAAACCAAGGGCAAGAGACCAAAGCGGACAGACAAGGTCCACGGCTGCACACCTTTCGGACGCACAGGTCTGCGGACGTCCGCTCAGGGTCACCGTCCAGCCGCTCAAACACGTCCAGCTGCTTATCTCGGGCCCTCCGGTCGCGCTCCTCCTCTGCACGAGAATCCGAGCTTAGAAGGAGCGTTGCACAGTGCTTTGAAGCCCAATTGAATCCGCTAGATGACAGGGTTGTTTGGGGACACTTCGAGTAGTTCAGCTGCTAAACAGATTCTTTTGAGTTTGATAGTTAGTCAAGGGTGTGTAAGCACTTGCAAGGAATTTTCTGACGACCTGGTTGGACGAAAGTCAACTAGCTTGAGATGGGATTGAGCTCATTCCGGATGGCGATTCCATCTTGTTTCAGAGCAGCAGTTGTTGTAGGTATCTGGCGACTTCTCCTACGGTTGGTTGCTTGTAAAACACCTACAAGCCTTTCTTACGAAACGTTTGACAGAAGATACGAATCAACGTGAAGATGGAAGCGGAAGGCCGCTCCTATCGTGTTGACCAGATCAGAACTTCACGTCGGCGAATATCGCCAACATTTGGGCCTTAACTTCTGTTAGTTGCTTGGAAAACTCGAGAACAGACTTGCTGCAGATGCAGCCAAGAATCGATCTGAACCATTGATAACGTAAGATCACCGGAGGCCGCAACAAACTTGTCGACCAAGTCAAACCTGGAGAAAGGAATCCAGATATGCAGCTGCAATCCGTGACAGTCAGAGCCCGAACGGGGTTGGAAAGCGTCACTCACTGTGGCACATGTCTTGACACGTGCCCACAATTGGGCCGTGTCTCATTGATGGCAGGTCCAGTTCAGGCTCTGCCTCCCGTACGGCAGCTGGCCTGGCCGGCGCGGCGCTCGGCACCTCAGCCAGCGCTTGCCGGCCGAAACGCTTCTCCCGCTCTAGTTTCTTCCGCTCCTTTTCGCTGCAAGAGAGAAGGGGCAGACGCGTTTTTGAGGTTAAGCGTATCTGCAGGATTATTTCGACGCCAGCCTTCTGCTTCCTGTTGCAGTTGGGAGTGCAAGGAGGCACGTTGGAGATTTGAAAGGGCGTGTCAAACACAGAACGAATCGTTCAAAAGCGAAGCTGGCTTCAGGGGCTGTCAAGGAGCCACCGTACATTCTAAGCTGCTATAATAAATGCAGGCAGAAATTTCTGTAGCATAGCCCTTCTTCAGGCATTCCCTGCATACCTCCTGGATGATGTGCTGAGCTGGTCGCAAATACTTGTCACATTCACAAAAATGACCATAACATGAAGAGAACCACATCAACAGTACACCGTTTTGGTCAAATGGTTGTTTGGGATGGGTGCCCGCACATGGTTATGGACGCAAGAAAAAGGTAAAAGCTATGAAAGAAAGTCACCTCTCATCCTCTTCCGATCGCCGCTCCATGCTAGGGCCCCTCCCGCCCCGGCCCCCCCTCTCCTCCCCCCCACTCCTTCTACTGGTGCGGCCGTGGGGCCCTTCATCGAGCTCACTCAGTGCCGCCAATGAGCCGAAACTTCTCGGGGCCTTGCTGAATGCGAAGCCCTCCCCAAACGAGGCCTGTTTTCTACCATCAATGCCAGGCGCAGGGCCTAAAAGACCTTGTTCACTTGACCGGGTTCCAAACGCAAGGGGGGCGGGAGCAGACCCAGCGGGACTAACGCCGCTACTGGGGGGAGCATTTGCAGATGCCCCACCGAACAACGTTGCACCGCTCCCAAACACAGTGCTCTTAGGCCCTGAGGCCGGTTGGCTTTTCTCCGGCGACAGGGGCTTGGATCCAAAGGAGAGGTTGGGCGGATTGTTTGCAGGGGGGGTAGCGGCAGCTCCAGCTCCAAACGTGGGGGTCTTAATGGTGCCAAATGTGAGAGGGGGAGTTTGCGCAACCACAGCATCTGGAGGTTTGACACCAAAGGTGAAACCACCTGATGCCGCAGGGGCACCGACACCACCGCCAAAAGTGGGTGTAGAAGCTGGCTGGGATTGAATGAGAGTTGTGCCAAAGCTGGGGGTAGTTTGGCTTCCCATGGCAGTCTGAAGGGGGCTCGGAAAGCCCCCGAAACCAGCTCCCGCCACAGGCGGGGAGGTCGATGCACGGGGTGCCTGGCTTGCTCCAAAGCTGAAAGCACCTGAGGGGGCTGGAAAGCTTTGAAGGCTAGATCCTGTGGCGTTGATTGCGCTGGATTGGAAAGCGCTCGCCGATGCTTGAGGTCTGGCTCCGCCGAACCCCATCATAGCTGACGGAGGGTTGCTGAAACCTGTTGATGTTGCCATCCCCCCAGAAGCTGAGGTCTGAATTGGACCCTGCATCGAACCCAATGCTTGACTGCCAAACCCTCCGCTCCATGGTTGCACTGATCCAAAGAGCGAAGCTCCAGAAAATGAGGAGGAATTCGCTGAAGTTGTTGCGACAGGAGTTCCAAAGGTGGGTGATCCTGCTGTTTGTCCAAAGGAGGGAAATGTTGTCCCCGTCCCCCCAAAAGCAGGCTGTGTGGACGAGCCTCCAAAAGTGGGAGCGCCTGGCCCTGCTTTTTGGTCCATGATGGCAGCGCCACCTAGAGCCACTGCAGGATTTTTCAAACCAGAAATTGATGTTCCTCCATTTCCTGGAGCTCAAGTTATGCGCTCTGGAGAAGCTGATTGGTCGAATCAATGTTTGCATGCACTCAATCGCAAGTTCTAGACCACCTTGAAATTAGAGCGACTTCTTCCTTTGCGAGTTCAGCTTCACACTTTCCAGAACGCTGATTGACATGGTGCTGCATTGTGTACCGGCTTGGCCCCCTACAAGGGACGCTTTGTTACTGAGCTACAGTGGCAGCATGCACAGCGCTAATGTAGAAGCTTTTCGTAAAAGAAGCCAAAGATGAGGGAATATAGAGGAGGATTCTACTTCCGTCTTTGAGTACCACCACTACATGTGGAAGGACGACCCTCGGAAATTAGCGATGGCCTCAGGGCGGAAATGGATAATTTGCATGATACTCTGCGCTCTGCAATCAGTGGCATTGTTTGGTGGGGTGATTGCGGAAGGGCCGCAGATCAGCAACCTCAACCTGCTTTTGCCACCCCGAGCCACGAACCCTGTGCGGTATAGACTGGCGGGGTCAAACGGCTGCTTTGATTGGTGAGGACCTTTGGGCCCGTTATGTATGTCTTTTAAAAGCTTTGTTCTGATTAGAGGTGGTGCAAACCAAGGGCAATAAATACCAGAGCCGTCATGATGTTTGGGGCTTCTATCGAGTTGTTTGCAGCATTTTGATTGTGTTTGCATCAGTTGTCATAGCGGGACAGCGAGCAACTTTCCTATCAAAGGCAGACTCAAATGTGGCGAAGCATAGACTCCACAATTCGTATAGTTTGTTTTTCTTTGCTTCGTCTTTCTGAAGAAATTTCAGTAAAGTTCTAAGATATTCTTCAATCAAACTGGACTCGCATTTTGCACAACAGCAGGTTGATCAACGCGCTACTATCTCACTATTGTTCATTTTCATCTATGACGTTTCTGGTTGGCATTCTTTGGTCACGGAACGTACTTACCCTCCTCTCAAAGATTCCTTTTGCTCTTCCACTCATTCCTCAGAAGTTTCTCGTTGCTTGGCTAGTCTACAGTCGGCACCACACTTGTTTTTTTTCCCACCATTTTGCACCTTCTACAACCACCACACCACCATCCTGCACCAGTCTATTTCCACCGATGTGCCACCACCACCGATATCCCCCACAACGTACCTGTACAGCACTTTTATTGTATATTTTACTGTGGCCTGACAATTCCCCTTTGCTCAGGTCTGTGGATCACAACGACCTGCTCGACATCGAGCCAGAGTACAACAGCAGCATTCCTGGCTGCTCCACAAGTGTGACCATCACGTCCAAGGCGCCCTACAGTGGCCGCAGAACAACTGCTGTCCACGCCAGGGACCAGAAGACAGGGCGGGTGCTGCGGTGCGAGGTCGTCATTGACAAGATCAGCAGGATCGCAATCTTCCACACGGTGCTGAAGATCGACCTCGAGGGGCTCGCCACGCTGCAGATACGTGCGTTTGATGCAGAAGGTACGGTGGTTGCAATTATATGTGTTCTTGGAGGTCAAAGGCCACTTTCTGAGCCTTTTGATATGTTCAGTATGGAAGCATACGAAGGAGCATTCGTTTGTTCATGAGACCTCTCCCAGAGCTCCTGAGACATATGAGTCGCTTTGAGGACTCGATTCTACACGTTTTGCCTGTAGTCCCATCAGATCTACCATGGTGATGGCCTTCCTGAGCCTGAAGAGTCTCTCCGAGATCACTCCCTTCACCAAGTAACCAGCTTTGGCTCCTTGAGGAAATTCGTTATGAAACTAGAAAATTGCAATCTCTTCGGAGCGTTCTACACGATTGATGGCGTATCTTTGTACTGAACAGATTCGTTACATGGTGAATCTGATCGCAGCGACTTTGTCGGCTACTGCTTGCGCCCTGTATGTGACTTACTTTTTCCCAGAACATCCACTCAATGGTGGAGATCAATCTGCCCTTTCGAGACGTCCTATGCTGCTTCACTTCTGCAGACAACGTGTTCTCGTCGCTGATTGGGCTGCAATTCGCCTGGACGTCCACCCCCCTGCGAGCGGACGGCACGGTGCACAGGCTGAGGCATGTGCCGCTCAAGGAGACGGCACTGAGCGGCTGTGGCTGTGACTGCGGGGACGTGTGGGTGCGGATAGAGATCGAGGAAGGGGTAAGGGTGTAGTGTGATTGGGATTGTCATATCTTAGAATCTGTGTCACTTGCAAACATGACGAGTTATCAAAAATCTGGAAGCATGCCTATAAATTCTTCAACGGTCACTTGAGGCTTTCAATTCCCATGATTGAGTCCGGGCAAGTCAATGCGCCCCTTGCTTGCTTACTTTGAGATTAGGAAGCTCTCCTTAGACATTGAAGCACTTGAAAACAAAGCAGAGAACATAGCAGGTAACTCGTAGAAACACGATTCTTTCAGTCTGGTTGAGCTCCGAGTCATCAAGCGGGTTGGCAGAATTGCCGAACAAGATATCGCGCAACATGTTCAGTCAAAAGGCCAGGGTTCGTTTTCAATGCCACGCCTCCTCCCTGCAGGAGCTCTGGTCTGACCTCTTTGTGGTCAGGGGCGTAGAGGCTGGTAAAGAGCAGGTTAGCGCGCAGTTAGTGGAACCCAGTTTCCCGGCCCTGGAGCACAGCGTGGCGCTGACAGTTGCGGAGGCGTTCTCCCTTCTGCCCCCGAGCCCCGTGTTCATCATCCCCGGCACGCGGCTCGACTACAAAATTGTTACTTACCGGCCAGACAAACCAGAAGGTGAGAGGCCTGCTTTAGACCTGATTGATTGCAGCGCCCAAGCCTTTTCGAGATGTCCGGCTAGTACGGTGGTACATATCGACTTTCGTCCTTGTCAAGTCTCTGACTGAGTCTACGCTGTCTCTTGACACTTATCTCGCTCGTCATCGCACACCTGGTCGTTTGAAGTCCGCAAAGAAAGCTTACACAAAAGTGAAGACCGGCTTCGGACTTGCCTGTCTAGAATAACAGGATCAAAAGCACTTTGATCGTCCTGCCAACACCATATACCAGTACTTGGGTCCAACCTCTCTCGTCGCATTCACACAAAACATTATTTACGACTCTGCCGATTGCATACTCAGTCAACTTCTCAAGTCCTACCCCCTTTCCTATCTCTCTCCCAGGCACTACCGTCACGCTGCCCTCCCCCTACTACAAATGGTCCATAGACAACGCCACAGTCGCCTCAATCGATTCCAACACTGGCCGCGTTCTTGCGCACACACTCGGACACGCGCACGTCACTGTAACGGACGTCCGAGTCGAGGACCACTCCCAAACCTCCCTCCTGAAGGTGGTCGTTCCCACGAGGCTAGTCCTCTCTTTGCAACCCCTCGGTGTGAACGCGGGGCTCGCCCGCTCGGTGTCCTCGCGCGCACTGCAACCAAAGAAGTCAGACGGCACATGGCAGATCGTCGAGGGCCGAAAGTACCTCATCCAAGTGGCGGCGTTCTCGAAAGACTCCGGGAAGCAGCCTTTGGTTCTATCGCAAGACGTGGACCTCCGCCTAAACTTCGACAACATCCCTGCGTGGATCACGCGGCCAGTGTCGGCTTCCGAGGCCCGCGAGAAGGGCTGGGTGAATGCGACGGTCCTAGAGGCCCTGCAAGAGGGGGCGGGGACGCTCTCGGCGGCGCTCATTTTTGGAAACATGGTTAGGGACGCGGTTAGCAGCGCCTGGGTTCCGGGACCCCAGAGCGTTTTGGAGGCGGAGCAGGAGGTGCGCGTGTGCGCTCCGGTGAAGGTGGAAAGGGACGCGCTGCGCATGCCTTGGCTGCCAGGGGGTGCCCAGGAATACACTTTGCGGGCCTCAGGAGGTACGATTTGTGAACCTCTATGTGGCTTAGGAAGAGCGCTCTGCTGTTCCAGGTCTGTGCATTCGTGTTTTCTTGAATGTATCAGGTTGGAGTTGTGTCGTAAGTGACCTTCACTGTTAACATTCTTAGTCGGAAGTTGAGTTTTTGAAAGGCTTACTTCATCCGGACGAGAAGCTAGAGTGCGGGGACGCTGCCAGAGTTTCGGAGTCAGAAGGTCTTGCTGTGAGTCTTTGTTGAAGGTATCGACTGGACTCTTCTCAATTCAAAGTCGCTTGTAGGACGGGCACCAACCAAAGCAATCACCTCTGCAGGCTGCGACTTGGGCTATAACTGGTTCAGTGAAAACCCTTCCATCGCCACCGTCGATCTGGACGGGACTGTTCGGGCTGTAGGCGTGGGCCGGACCCGGATTTTCGCCGCTGCTGCATTGGACGAGCTCAACCTGGCGTCGACGGTTGTGACTGTCTCTGTGCCGGCGAGCCTTCAGCAAGTGCCTTCCCTTCCAATGGATTTGCAAGTAGGAGACGCGGCGCCTGCGGCTGTCAAGTTGCTAGACGGGGAAGGTGGGATTCTCTGCTGCTTACGTCTGTCTTTCGGTTACATGAATCCTTTAGGTGCTGGGGAAAGTTCAGCCCCCTCAGGTACACAGACTTTTTGCACAAGAAGTGCATTTCTGTAAGTGATTAGCGCTTCTGTTCTACAAAGCCCTGCGCTGTGGTATCTGATACTCGTATCAAAACTAAGAACGTTACGCCTAATATTTTTCTGCTCCTCTTCAGGTCACGAATACGACAACTGCACCGCTGCAGCCCGCTTTGTCACGTGGCACGCCGTCCCTGCCCGGCCTGCCCAGCCGGGGGATCCCTCTAGCCCCCCGACCCCGCTCACTTCGTCCGTACCTCCCTCAAACGCCTTAGAAAAGTTGCGCAGAGCCATGGGAGCCATCCAAGGCGACGCCTGTGCGTCTCACGTCTGGTGGGCGGTCGCCCCCGGCCTCGCAAGAGTGTCCGCCGTTCTGGATCTCGAGCCGGCGGAGGCGCTGCGCCGAGAGATGCAAGAACGGGGGGTGGATTACCTGCCTGAAGGCGCCCCCCGGAGACTCGCGACGGAGTGGGTGGTGTCGGTGTACAGTCCGCTGGTTTTGGAGCGAGCGGACAACGGAACCGGCGTGGGGGGGTACACCGTCCCGAGGGGGGAGGTGATTCACGAGGTAAAGATGCCCCCCGGGAGCACCGTGAAAGTGCGGACGAAGGGGGGTCCGGAGAGACGGGGGAGCGAGGCGTTTGCGGAAGGGGCCAGGGTCTCGGGGGACGGCTTGACGGTGCAGCAGATCGGACCGTCGGACGCTGGCGGGAGTCGGACGTACGAACTGACGTGCACTAAGCTGGGGACGCAGGTCAGGACTGCTTGTCTCGCCAAGTATCCGCTCTCTTTATGCGTGGAAGTATTGTCAGTCCTTGCGCTGCGTTATTGCCCTGTCTATCAGCGGGGTCTGCTTTCTTCTGACTGCTTGCTTACGCACTGCAATCTTGAAGGAAAAGTCTTTTTCTGTAGGGTGCGGATTGTTTCATTCTTGACAAGCGACGTCTATTCATGAAGCTGGGCGAGTCTCCCGTTCTTTGTGGAATGCTTCAGCTACCTGTAGGCATCAGCAAAATTTTGGGTTTTCCTCCGAAGATTGCGAAAGAACAATTCAAACCGTCACAACAAGTCCCTGCTTTGTCAGCCGCGGGCACTGAGGTTGTCCTTGTTGCTTCTCTTGCTTTCAGTCGATTTCGTTCAACAGGGGCGCCGCTGAGGCCAACCTCACAGTCCACTGCGCTCTGCCGGCCGCCATTACCCTTCTCATCGACGAACGAGGTCAGCCATACCGACTCCGCCACCATTCTTTCCTCCTGCAAATTTGCAGCCTCCAACAAGCGGGGCGTGCTATTTTCACACAATCTATCTGGCCCGTAGCCGCTTACCCGTAGACTGTGCTCTCGGACTCAGGTTCGCAATGAGCGTGCTGCCACTCGTGTCGTCTCGCTTGCTTTGTGCGCATCCTGTAGACCGATCGAGCATGGTTTCGTCAACATCCTTCACCTTGTTCCTTTATGTCCTCTTCATTCCGCCTGCCTTGACCGCAGTCTTGCATCGATGGATCCTATGCTTCGCCAATTGTTTTCAAGGTACTGATGTCAGCCTTTGTTTTCTTTACCAGACAACTCCCTTCCCGCCATCCGCACCTTCGCCAGCCTCGAGCGCGACGCCAGCGGCATGCACGCCATCACCCACCAAGTGATCAACAACCGCCTGATCCGAGTCGCGGCGGTGGCCCTTGACCCGGAATTTAACCCCTTCTCAAGTGCGGAATCATTAACCCTAGACTGGGACCTGGACGGCTGCGAGGGAGCCCAGTGGGCGAGTCTCCCAGAGTCGGGTTTAGAATCCGGGTTAGCGAGCGACTGGGAGAGGGGCCTTCTGCTCGGGGATAAGTCTGGCAAGTGCGTGGTCCGGGCAACTGTGGTCGGGTTAGACCGAAACCGGGCCAGGGTTAAGAGCTTACCTAGGGAGGTCGTGCACGAAGTTGAAAACGAGGTTCGGAGGAAAGAATTAGTGGACGCTGCAACACTGCAGCTGGTGTCGGCGCTGCGGTTAGAGCCGCGATTTGCGCTCCTGCTTAACCACCCAGCGGCAAAGGTTACTCTGAGGGTCATAGGTGGAACCAGCGACATTCAAGCAGCGAGCAACGACTCCCAGGTCGCCGAGATCCTCCCAACGTCTGCCGGGAAGACCCTTGAAGTTGCACCAAAAGACTTTGGTGTGGCGGAAATCCGGGTTAAGGACGTAGGTTTGGAGCATCCGACAAGCGCATCGGCCGTCGTCGCCGTGACTGACGTGGCCTCGGTTAAGGTGCTGGTCAGCGATGACCTCATCCTGCAAGTGGGCGCCAATCTGACTGTCGCTGTGGAGGCGACGGACGATCTGGGCCGTCCGTTCGATGCGTCGCAGTTTGCGTACCTCGATCTGAAGGTCCATGTTTCGGACGAGACAGTGGCGCTTTTGAACGTCCCAAACACGGCGCCGAACGAGTTCGTGATCGAGGGAAGGACCGTTGGGACGACACTCTTCCATGTAAGGCGCTTCAAAACGCTATCTATCCCGCGTGTCTCTTATGTCACTGTACTCATATGAGTCGTGTCGTAGCGATGACACGTTTCCATTTTACTCGACTGATCAGACTCCCTTGTCATCCCTGGTATTTGTAGGATGTACCATATGCCCTTGCTCTCGCTCAAGAAGTGCGCTCGAGTTGGGGTGGGATGTCTGAGGTACTGAAATACTGTCTGCTTGTAGTGAAGCATTGAGCCGCCAAGCGCGCTGTCCTTTTCTAGGTGCTTGTTTGACTTTCTTGGGAAACAGAAGCCGGCCTTTTCCGAAGTTTCGCCTTGGCCAACCAGGGCCTCTCACCCATCTGTCACCGCTATCGTGTTGGAAGGAGCTTCTTGTAGGGCTGCTAAAAAATAAACCTGTGAGACTGTCTCGGATTTTCAAAAGCGTATCACTGTGAGCAATGAATCCGTTTCATTCTCCGGTATTCAGAGCCTATCCGAGTAACTCGAAGCAGCACATACCGACCCTCATTCGTTCCCTCTCCTCGCAGGTTACTGTCCGCAGCGTCTCTGGCCGTGTGATCGAGAGCAAGTTCGTCCGAGTCTCTGTCTACGCCCCCCTCTCCCTCCACCCCCCCGAACTGATCCTAGCACCCGGCGCAGACTACGCCATTCAGGTCCAGGGGGGTCCCAGCGCCAACGCTCAAATCTCCCTGTCTAGTTCCAACCCGACCGTCGTTTCGGTCGACCCGCTTTCGGGTTCGGTTCGAGGAGAAAAGGAGGGTCAAGCCGAGATCAGGGCCGTGGCGCGTTCTGCTTCTGGCGAAGTTTTGAGTGAAGCAACAATGACCGTGGTGGTTAGGAAGCTGGTCAAGGCGGGTTTGCACGCGGGGACTGGGCGTCTGGGCGTGGGGGAGGAAATAGACGTCTTTCCCGAGGGGGGGGAACCGAGCGAGGACCTAATGTCATTCGCGCAAGTTTGCTACGGGTACCGCTGGTCGGTTGGAGATCCAGAGGTGCTCCAACTGCTGAAGCCGGATTCTCTAGAGGTTCCGGAGGCCAAGCGAGGGGACGAACTGGACCCCGGGTTTAGCGTCCGGTTCGCAGGCAAAGCCCCCGGCAAAACCACGGTTAGCCTTACCTTCAGCTGCCGCTATGGACCGCCAGGAACCCCCCCGGTGCAGTACAACGCGTCTGCTGACGTCGTAGTCCTGGGCGATGTTCCCGTGAACAGGGGGTGCTGCGCGACCTGGCTTTTGCCCCCCCATTACGAAACCACGTTCGCCCTCCCCTTCTACCAGTGCTGTGGGCCGGAGACGACTGTCTACTCGTTGCTTCAGAGCTGTCCGCCGCCTAACCAGGCAGATAACTACGTGGTTAAGCTGCTGGACGAGGGCAAGCTGCAAACTGGGTCTCGACCGGACGTAGAGTGTATTCACGCCAGGGTGCGGAGCACGGGGAGGGCGGGCCTGGCGGCCTGTGTGAGAGTGGCGGAGATCGCTCAGGTGAGAATACCCTCTTCTTGCGTGCAATGAACATCCTTGCGACCATAACTCCTAAGTGCGCAAGAAGGCAGCCCCGAGGTGGCCTACGAAATCAACATTTCAAATCGTTCAGAGGATGTGCCGATTAGAGTCTACCTTCATGAGCCTCGTAAAACGTACTTCTGCTCAGGAAATTGCCTGCGCTATCCAGTTGAATGTACAGACAAATTAGTCCGTTCCAGATCTGTTGCAGCTGAAGTTTCAGGCAAGCTCTCCTCTTTGACCTTCTCTTTCCCGACCCTTAGCAACGTTTCCGCCATCGCTTCCAGCCATGTAACCGCCTTTGTTCCGTTCAGCGCTCGGTCCGTTCCGTGCTCGTTCCGTTCCCTTCACAGTCCGATCCCTTTGGCCTGCAGATGACAGTAGGCGACGACTCCTTTCCATGGCACTCCGTCGAGCTCTCCGTTGGCGCTACCCAAGTTTTCATCGTCACCCCTCAGGACGAGTTTGGCGCCCCATTCTTCGAAGCTGCGGGGATCCCCCTCCACGTGGAGGCCAACCACCCCGACATCGTGGCCGTCCACGTGGACAGCCAGCTGGTGCCCACTGGTGATATCAGGGTTACGCAAACCCAGGTCGTGGTTAAGGCCCTGAAGCAGGGGAGTGCTCTGATCAGGGTAAGTCCTGGAAAGTATCTCACAGCTGTTTTCGATGTTTAAGAACTTGACGCTTTCGCTCGTTGACGACACCAGAACGACCGTTGAGTGGCGATTGGAGTAGCTGCTTTCCAGTTCTTAATAACGCTTTCAATTCTTCTCGTGAACCAAACCTAGAATAAAACGCGAACAACAAAAGGAATGTTTTCCGTTGACCGGAAGATGCTTGGCTCTCTTCAGCCGTCGCATTTGCGGCCCAGACACGCCAGGTATACTGCAGCTCTAGGCGAATGTGTGCGTTCTACTTTGACGTTTCCAAGCTGGCAATTGGTTCTGTTGCCTTGAAAGACCATACATGGGCCTTTATCTGCCCCTTCGGTTTACAGGATCTTTGTGGACTCGAAAGGTGACGAATTGCATCTGCTTTGTGCAGGTACACCTGGCATCGGATCCGGACGTGACGGACTTTTTGGTCGTTCGAGTGGGAGCGTACGTGAGCCCCCGGGAGCCGTTTATGCATCTCGGGTCAAGAATCCGGTTTACGGCCGGGATGGGCGGGTCAGCGGGCGGGTTAAGGGAGGAGGGCCGGTGGTCCAGCAGGGACGCGGTCGTGGTCAGGATTGACCCATTTTCAGGGGAGGCAGTTGCGGTCGGGCCTGGCAGTACGACGGGTAAGAAAGACTTTACCAACTCCCTTCTCCCTTTCAAGTAAGAAGTCCGCTTCTGAAGCCTCCTTTGTTTCGACAGACTATATTGGAATAGTCCCCGATTCAATTCGCTCTTGTCGTCTGCTGTTTAGGATTGTCAGCGAAGGATTGAAATGGTGAGGCAGTTTTAACAGGCAGCCTCACAACTGTACGCTTCTCCAACCCTCACAGTGGAAAGCCTCCATCGAGTTCCATCCGACTATCCTACTCTAGATCTTACAGCTTCCAGCATCAGACTCCCCGAGTCTGGTCTTCCTTCTTTCTCTGAATGGGGAATGCACATACCAATAAAAGAAGAGTTGTATCGAAGTCGCTGATCAGGTTCTAACACACATCTCATGTGACTAACATTCACGCAACTTGCAAAATACACGACCTGGCACTGAAGCACCGATACCCCCGCTGCAGTGCATTTCAACGGGTCCCATCTGACCACCTACACCAGTGTCACCGTCGTTCCGGTAGCGGCGGTTTCCGTCAGCCCCCCAGCGGAAGTTCCGTTCCTCACAAACGCCCGCCCCGATGCCGAGTACGCGTTCCCCGTCACGTTCCGGTAAGACACCGCTCCTTGTTGAGATCCTGATAGGGTGCGATGTGCGGATGACATCCTTTGATTTCTACTTTCTTCCCGAAGCAATAACGCCGTCAGATATCTCGTATGAAGGGGCATTGCTCGTGCATCCAGCAGAGCCAGAACTCTCCAGAGCACTGAAGCCCCAATGGGACCCATGCGCTGCTTCAACATACCTCCTTCAGACCAAAAGACTACCCTCTGACCTCCAGTTATTCAGCGATAGACGCAGAGCTTCTTCGATCCTGAGTGATTGCAAGCTAAAGTCCTTCTTAAGGTCTATTGAGTGCTGAAAAACACCGTATCGCTCCAACAGGGACGCCAGTGGTCAGGAGATCGGGGCCCCGGTCGTCGCTGCAGTCGCTCCGTTCGAGTGCCACCTGTCGCCTTCTTACCTTGGGTAAGCCGCGTATGCGCTTGATCATACCGCTTGCATGAGCTCTGCATTTATTCTTCAAGGCTCCTTGCGGCCTGCCAAGTTTATGCTTCATTGTTGGATTGTTTGACGCCGGCTTCTCATCCATACATTTGACATTTCAACCAGGACGGCACAGAATAGAAAGGGCTCGATAAGGAGGGGGGCGCAGGATTGCAAGAGGTAATTGTAAAAAGGCGTAGACAGAAGAAGAAGCGTAGAACCAGAAGTCTTGCAGTGACCAAGCGTCATAGAAATTGTCATAAACCCTATGGCACAAGAAACTATACCCTCAAACCCGGGCAACTTTTACACCGGCACAGTCATGTTCAGAAGAACGAGACAACCGGGGAGGTTGTCTGCGTCATCTATTTGGAGGACAGTTGGATCGTATGTAGACGGGCCGAGTCTTTCAGACTTCGCATTCACGCTCCCTTAGAGGCTCAAATTTCCTTTGACAATTACAACACGGAGGCACACGCACGCGCAAGAGAGGTAGACAAGCAGCGAAGCCGTCTGCGTCATATCCTGGAGGATCCCAAACGCATTGCCCGCAGCCAGCTCGTTCCTGAAGGCTCCGGGAAAGATACAATTGGCAGATTCACCGTTCTCTTCATTCAACCCGATTTCAAGGACGATTACACCGTAATCCGCAAAGATAGTCGTTACCCTTTTGTTACTGGAAAGCATACCCTTATGGCACCGACTCTTAAAGTTTGATGGGGTACTGCGCAAGCAACGACTGAAGCTTTTCAGCTGCACCATGCCCAATGCGTCGGTAAATTCAGATCCTTCTTGGCGCTGACGCGGCCTCGGGCTTGCAGAGTCCACTCTCACACCCCCGTAAAGGCACAGGAAAACCAGCTTTTCAAACTATAAGTATCCACACGCAGCACTGTCACGCCCAGAAGAACGAAACATCTGGCAAGGCTGTTTGCGTCATTCACTTGGAAGAACCCGAGAGCATCGCTCGCAGCCGGGCAGAGTCTAACATATTTGACCCTCGCACTGCTTTAAGGGCACAGGAAAAACAGTTGTCCAATTCTCAAATATCCACACGCAGGCACTGTCACGCCCAGAAGAACGAGACAACCGGCAAGGCCAGTTGTGTCATGTCCTAAAATATGCCGAACGCATTGCCTGCAGCCGGGCCACCCTTGCAGGCTCCTCTCTCACAACCCTCTAAAAGGCACAGGAAAAATAGCTGTTTGGACTTTGAAGTATCTACACGCAGGCACTGTTACGCCCAGAATCCAACCGGCGAGGCCTTTTGCGTCATCCACCTGGAAGATCCGAGAGCATCCTTCGTCGCGGGCCGACGTTTGCAGATATTATGCTTCCATCTGAAGCAAGTGAAATTAATCAGAGGTTCTACACGCAGGCACTGTCACGCTCAAAAGGGAAGAGAGGCCTTTTGCGTCATCCACCTGGAAGATCCCGAGAGCATCGCTCGCAGCAGCGCCAACTCTTTGCAGGTTTTGGTTTTTGAAACAAGTTTTGATTCCTTGATCTTTGAACTCCCCAAAGAAGTGACATCAAATCTTCAATCCTTCGAATACCACACGCAGGCACTGTCAAGCCCAGAAGAACGAGGCAACCGGCGAGGCCGAATGCGTTATCCACTTGGAAGATCTTGATAGCATCGCATGCCGCCAGGCCGCCTTTTGCAGAACTCAAGCTTCCATCTGAAGCAAATTTTCATCTCAGCCATTTCTACACGCAGGCACTGTCACGCCCAAACGAACGAGACGACCGGCGAGGCCGTTTGCGTCATTCACTTGGAAGATCCCGAGAGCATCGCTCGTAGTCGGGCCGGCGCGCAGCAGCCCGCTGCGGACCGTACGGGGACAGTCCGAGGGAGCGTCCGAGCGGACGTTCCGGCAAAGGGTTCCGTTCCGGCCGTTGTGGGGCAGCCGGAGGAGTTCCGTTTCGTGGGGGCGTTTGCACTGGCGTCAGGCACCCCCGAGGAGGTGAGCGGGGCTGGATGGTTGCTAGAGGGAGGGACTGTACGAGATTGTTGATATGGCGACGGTTTACGTGGAGGTCTTTGTTGGCCACGTAAGGGTTATTGTCCGAAAATGACGACGGTTACATTTATAGAAGGCCGCCGCAACTGTTGACGGGGCCTATTTGCCGAAGCAGGCTTCCTCCTTTTGAACCATCCGTCGTGCTTCTATTTGGGCTATGCATCGGCTTGCTCGGAACGCTCGGGTTTAGTAAAAGAGGCCATCGAAACGGTTGACAACCCCCCTTTCAAAGTAGAAACCAAACAGGATAAGATCGAAAGATACGACCGCTGGGTGACCTGCGAGTAGCCCTCTTTTGCACCAGACAGATATACCCTAAGAAACCTCCGAGGCTCACGCGCAGTTCTTTTTCTCTCGCAGCTCCACTTGTACAAGAGCACCAACCGGACCATTGTGTCCCTCGTGGGCAATACCGGTGAGCCGCCTCGCCCTGACTGGCAACATTCTTGATTCACGTTGCGAGAGACGTGCTCTCTCCTGGTCCTCTTGTTTGAATTGGCGCAAGGTTGCTGATCAGGTGGTGGCAAGGGAACAATCAGAATAGCAATTGTAGGTTGTTTATCAGCAACTGCCTGGAGTAGCGGTAAGGTCCGCTGTGCAATCGCTAGTCTGGCCAGGTCGAGCATGCGTTTGTGTTTGAACCCCAGATCTTGAGTTTGCAGAAAACACGGTGGCCACATTTCTAAAGAACACCTTTCCGCCCACTCCAGATTTGCGTGGGGATCCCGCCGTTGCCCCTGTTACTTGTTCGACCATTCATTTTCATATAACGCTTCTCGAACATTGTCGAGGCGGGGGAGAACACAGGCGTTTTTTATGGAACCTAGAAGGATAAGCGTTGGTTGCGGATACTCAGTTTCCCCGACATCCTGCGTGCAGCTGACGTCATCGTGTCGTGGGGCCACCGAGACGCAGTGGCAATCCGCCGCGTCAGCAGAGGCGAGGAGGCTGCCGGCTTGAGCGGGAGGGCCCTGTACGAGGTGCGCCTGTTGTCACCTTTTCTTCCATCGCCTTTTAACCCGGGCTTCCGCCCGTTGCTCTCGAACATCTCAATATCCAAGTAGAGCAGGGGAGCTCTGCCGTACCTGAATCAAACTCCGGAAGTGCCCTTGGGGTTTCTGAAACCTGCTTGGATTGCAAGTTGAATGCAGACACCATTTCGTCTGAACGGGTAGGATTGTTAGCAGGAAAGTTAGGGGATGTGCGACCGCTTTAGCATCGGTTACCATGTATATTCTTTGCCATTCGGCGTTCCCTATCTCGGGCCTGCAGTACGGTAACAAGGTCGAGAAGGCGCGTGCTCATCTCATATCTCTTCCAATCCGTCCTCAAGCGGGTTGGGCTAGCACTGTCGATCACTAATTCCGACCAGCGTGTAAGTTGCCCGTGCGATCTGCCTTTTCTGCGGGAGCTGCATCTTTCCTGACAGTCGGCGCTGGAGTTGGCTCCTGTGCATCACTTATCCGGAAAGAAAGTTGATGTCACCGACTGGTTCGGGAAGCCCGTTCTAGGGGTTTTAATCGACAGTCATGATCCGGCCGTTGTGTGGTATCCCCACTCAAATCGTTTGGGACCCCTTCTTTGCAGATCAAGCTGCTCCAGCCCGGTTCCTCCCTGTCCGACCGAGCCGTCTTCAAAAATCAGAAGACAGGACAAAGTGTGGAGCTTCCCTTCCACTACGATGCCGGCGGGACGCCGATCCTCGGCTACGCTCTCTTATCCGCAATCGTTGCTGCTGTCGGGGCTCTTGTTGTAGCGATAGTGCGAATGCTATGGTCAAGTTTCGTACGGCGGCGGCCGCCGGCCGAGGCTCCCCCGGCCAGGCCGGACCAAACTCCCAAAACCCCTCCACCACCCACCCCTGCCCCTGCGTTAAACACAGCGCAAAACGGGGATGGCCCGCGAATGAGAACACCACCGGATGTCACGCAGTACTTCGAGGAGACGATAGAACGGACACCGGGGTATAGAGCGAGCCCCTTGCGGTACATTCCTAATGATTCATATTGAGAATCATGCTGCTAGTACAGTTGTTGGTTGCCGATCGAAACATTGCGATCTTGTCGTTGCTGCAAACGGAAAGAGAAGCCCTGACGAATTGTGTGTAGGCAAACAATTTGGAGCTGCCCGGTTGATGGTCGGGACTTGTCAATGCGGCCCTGTTCACGGCTGAGGAATCATTCTGTGTCGATCAAGTCGACCTCGCAATTGAGGAAACTGACATGATTGAATGATCACGAGATCGATTTCCTCTTGGTTGAACAACGCACAAAGACCTCGACATGGTCACCTCTCTTTAGGCCATACGGATCAGACGCATGGCGCATGCAGTGCTTGCAGTCAAGGAACGTGTCACTTGTCTATTCAAGGCGAATGCTTGCTCGCAAAGTGGTCATTTGGCCCTTACTAAATTTCTGCTTTACTCAAGAACTTCGAAAAATAGTGATGCATGTACGTGTGCAAGACACGCAGGCGAGCTATCGGCCTGTAGCGCGTTAAAGCAGCGTGCGCAATACTAATGCAATACCGTCCGGCTGCATGCGAATGCAAGCATATGCATCTCAGCATGTGCCATTCATATACCGCGGTTGCATTGTTTTCAACTTAGTTCCGACATTTGAAGTACTGAGGTACTTCGATCGCAATGTCGTCGATATCCCGAGACTTAGGCGCGTGAGCATCAAATATCGTCGTATAATGAGTCTGACCAATTCTTTCACATCACGATGCAATCAATTTAATTTATATGTTGTCGAATCCAGGCCATGAGAAGCCTAAAAAGACGATGCGTTGGTGACCAAATGATTGTCATCCACGTCTTTGATTGAAATATGCTTGGATCGCGAGGAAGCCATGCTGATGCCTGGCACATACTAAGTATCATATAGTGATCCTAAGTAGATCACACCGAGTGCACCATTGTACAAATGCCCTAAGCGGGTCATGAATCCCTAGGCTTACACTCGACAATCTCTTGTCATACTGATGTGCATGGCATGTGTGGTTGCAGTGACTTTCAATCGAGAAAGAGAAGAACTTATTGTGTACCTGTGCAACACTGCGCACGGCTGCAATAGAAGAGCGGAATCAGCAGTACTCCTGATGATTGTTTGGAGATACGCGCCACAATATGCAAAATCGTTCAGTGATTGGATGCTACGTTGATGTCCCAAGGACGCCGGACCATTCTTTCTGATTAGCAGTGCACAGCTGCACGCGGGCCACTTCTAGGTGCCGTTTTCACATGGAGGGCAAAGTGATGTGATAAAAGTAGTACGGTGAAGTGCATATCCAATGCATACCGGCAGACCACATGCCTCAAAGTTGGGCATTGATGATTGGGTGACAAGTCATGGAGCGCGTGACTTTTCAGCTTCTACCAACTACCAACTACCAGCACTACCTACTTTGTGCCTTCCTTCATGCACCGACATACCATACCGGTAACACTAACGGCATGCCTTGGTACCTAGTAGGTACCTACATTAGGTACAGAGGTAGTAGGTACGGTACTACGGTTGGTACGGCACGTAGAAATACCGGGGTCCTACCGTACTACCAAGGTATGAT